TTCTCGATGTTCAATGCGCAGACAATGCTTACAGGTTTCCGAACAAGGTCTTCTGGACATGGCATCTGCATTCTGGTGTAGTTTTCCTGGGCGATGCTTAATCTTGAAGTGATACTGGTTCAGCTTTTCCAGCCATCTTGCTATTTGACCTCAGGATTCTTCATCTCCATCACCCACCTCAAAGCTGCATGATCCGTCCTAATGAGAAATTCTCTCCCGTATAAGTATTCGTGGAAATGGTCAACAGCCTTAACAATTGCCAGCAGTTCTTTCCTGGTGACACAATAATTCCTTTCTGGTTTGGCCATCACTTTGCTGTAGTATTCTATAACTTTTTCTTGACCATCCTGTACTTGTGATAGCACGGCTCCAATTCCGATGTTACTCGCGTCTGTGTCCAAAATAAACAAGCCTCTCTCTTGTGGGAACCCCAAAATATAGGACCCGAACAGAGGCCAGCCTTCAATTTCTCGAAGGATTTCTCACATTCTACAGACCAGTTGAAGTTGACTCGATCTTCTGTCAATCTATGGAGTGGTGCCGCAATATCAGCAAATCCTTCCACAAAACGACGGTAGTAAGTGCACAATCCCAAGAAACTTCTAACTTCATGTTTGTCCTTCGGTCTTGGCCAGTCTCGAATGGCTTGAATCTTTGTCTCGTCAGTTTGTATTCCTTCTGACGTTACCGTGTGGCCCAAGAAATCTACTCGTTTCTGGAATAGTGAACATTTCTTCAGGTTCAGTTTGAGGTTGGCATTCCTGAATCGCTGGAACACTTCCCGTAAGTTCTTCAGGTGTTCCTCAAAATTCTTTCCCATGACCAAAACATCGTCCAGATATACCAGGCAAGTTTTCCAAGTGAGCCCACGCAGTACCAATTCCATCAGCCTTTCGAAGGTTGCTGGGGCATTACATAGTCCAAAAGGCATCACAGTAAACTGGTACAGTCCATTACCAGTCGTAAAAGCAGTCTTCTCCTTATCTTCTTCGTGAATGCCCACTTGCCAGTATCCGCTCTTCAAGTCCAGTGTCGAAAACCATCGGGAGCCAGCCAATGTAGTCAAAGTGTCATCAATCCTTCGTAACGGGTAGCTATTCTTCTTGGTGACGTCATTGAGCTTCCTATAATCCACACAGAATCTTGTGGATCCATCCTTCTTGGACACTAATACAACCGGTGCAGACCAAGGGCTGGATGATTCTTCAATTACCCCATCCTTCATCATTTTGTCAACCAGCTGTTCCACCTCCTGTTGCTTAGCAAATGGCATTCTTCTTGATGGTTGCCGAATTAGGTGAGCTTTACCAGTATCTATTCTGTGCTTGACCAAGTTCGTCCGCCCTGTTGATGTTGATTCAAAGATATCACTTTCGTCTGCTATGAATTTCTTGGCAGCTTTATATTCTGTTGGTGATAAGTGGTCCAAGGAGGTTTCCAGAACTTTCAATGCACTGTCATCTCGTTCCCTCCATCTCTGCTCGTTAGTCTTATCACATTTTGCTACCCAACTGACTGGTTCACAAGCTCCGATAATATCTCCTTCCCTTACTGTTATGGTGGTAGGTTAAACATTTGCTACCCTCACAGGAATGTCTCGTTCGGTGGTCACTAAAGCTCGGGCAAGTAACAGCTTGCTGGGGGATTCCTCACATGACTGTACTAATCCAACGCAGCACCCAGGGTCCTCTTCTAATCGCGCATGGATGATCTTCTCAGTGAATCCAGGAATTCTCACAGTCTTCGCTAGTCGTAGCATCACAGACGTCTCCCTCTCGGCTGGTGTCGTTAGTACAAACTCTTCTCCTTCAAATTTCATGGTCTTCTGATCACTGTCGAATGAAAACCCGTAGTCACTTATCAGATCCATGCCGAGGATAAACTCATCTTCGAAATCTGCGACGTATACCATGTTCATTATATGGAGTCTTCCAAGCGTCAACTCAATATCAGCCATTGCTCGTATTGGTGCATTTTCTCCAGTGACCGTACGAAGAACAAAGTTGGAAGTGGTTGGTTTTATACTTCCAGGCCGGAGAATGTCACTGCGTACCAGAGAAACTGATGCACCGGTATCTATGGTGCAGGTTACATCCATTTGGTTGATTTTTCCTTTGATGGTCAGGCTATCAGTTGTTCTTCTTATCCTCTTGATGTTAATGACCCTGGGGGCTTCGATATTACTAGCCATCATGCGCCCCGATACGCTGGCTAGTTCTAGTTTTCCTGGTATCTATCTGAGGACTCACTAGATGACCTAGTCCTCGCAGGTGAGTACGACCGTGATGGCGTCCTTGCAGGTGAAGAAGATCGTGGTGGTACTCTCACCTTACAGTCCCTTATCAGGTGTCCAGTTCTGCCACAGCGATAGCAGGATCTATTTCGCTTGTTACTAGACCCACTCTTAATTTCTCTGAGTTCCTCAAGCACTTTTCTCAACATTTTCGCCACTGGGTCCACGTCTTCGGAAGGCTCCTCGATGGACACAGCTCTCACTCTTGGCCTAGAGGTGTTGAAGGCCGCTCCTACCTCCAGAGATCTTACTAGGGCTTCACCACTCCTTTTAAAGTGTGTAAGCCTCAGAGTCTTCTGTATTTCTGAGTCTCTCAGCCCGTCGATGAATACCTGCACCGCCAGTTGTTCTTTGAAGTCCTCTGGTGCCTCTGGGTAGGCTAATTGAGTCAGTCTTCTCACATCTGCTTCGAACTCCTGTAGGCTCTCTCCAGACTTCTGCACACGATTTTTCATCTGAGCCCGGTAAAGCTGTTCTCGATGTTGGTCACCATACCTGAGTTCTAGCGCAGCCACTAAATCTCCGAAGTGGTTTTGTTGTTCAACTGGGATCGACTGTAACATCCCCAGAGCTGGTCCTCTCAGAGCTACTATGAGTGCAGTAGCTTTTTCCTCGTCACTCCACCCATTTGCACTTGCTGCAGCCTCAAATTGTCGGCGATACATAGACCAAGGCGACTGTCCATCAAAAGTTGGTGGTTTCACGGAAGAACCCGATGTGGCAACTCTGTCACGGCGATCTTGACTTCGTAGCGAGGTGATCTGATTCGCTACATTTCGTTCGATTGCATCGAGCATGGAATCTATTCTTGAAACTTCCTGGTTAAGGTTGTCATCAATTCTGGTGACATCTGTCTTTAACTCATCCATTTGCTCATCAGTTTTATGCAGAATTTGTTCGAAGAAGATTTTCTGATGTTCTCGTTCTTTTTCTTGATGTTCTCGTTCTTTTTCTTGATGTTCTCGTTCTTTTTCTTGATGTTCTAGAATTTTCTGTAACTCTTCTTGACGACGTTTCTCATCTTCCTGTCGTCGTGTCTTTAGTTCTGCGAACTGATTTTTCATGAATTTTATAATGTCTTCCATCGTGTCGTATGACGTACTCCTTGTATTCACCATACGTATTCAAATGTCCTCGAAAATCCACACTTCTGACACCACTGTTACGATTTTACTCTGGGTCCGTAATAACTTAACACTCGGTATAACACTTAAAATAATTTATTCTGAACACAATAATTACAATACTCGTACTAAACACTTACGATTCACAACACTTCTTCGATCGTTATTATAACGCTTCCAAATAAAGACTTTTCTTCCTGTCCCTAACAACATCTATTTATATTACCTAATGAAACGTCTAGATTCCACTCGAAATATCGTGAACAGGTCGATAATCTTCTCGAGTCATCTCAATAGCCGTCGAATCACCTAATTACTATTCCAAGAAATATGGCTTGTTTACTTCCCGCCGCAGGTAGCTGGGATCGATTGCCAGGGTCGTAACAATACATTTCAATGGTGGACGTATATATACGACCTTTTCCACATGCGCTATTTTGATGTATGGACTTACGACTTCATCGTTTCTTCTTTTCTCAGGGTTTTAGAATTATTTGGGAGTTACGGAGTTTGGTGAACGGACACTTTGATTCTTCTTGAGTCTGATTACACCAAAATTCCATTTTCAATTGAAATTGAACTAACGACCTATGTGAATTGAGCCCGACGATAATATGTAACTTTGCACTGATGTTGTTCATCACTCTGTAACTTACGAACAATTAGTTGTCTTTAGCGTTGCTCTTACATGGTATTTGTGTATAAGGAAGCAAGCTGTACATCACATTGCAACAATATTTTTTCTACGAGCGTGCGGAAAAGTAAGTTTTCCGATTCCGAAGTACAGAACAGAAGATATTCTTATAATACATTTTCCTTAGGAATAACAATGTCCACCCAAACATAGTTTCATATAAATACATTCTGAATACCTGAGAATTCAGAAGTTTGTTGAACAGGAGAAATTAACAGGCAGTGCTTTTTGTACTTATATAATCTATGGAAGTTTATAAAGTACAAAGACTATGACTCAATTCAGTATTCATACATAAACGTTCCCAACATCGATTTGGGAAACAGCGATTGTGATATTTTCAAAATGCTATTGATGTGCAATCTAGTGCTCAAGCAAGCTTACATAGATATATTCAACACAAACGTGAAAAAGCTACGCTACAAAAATATGACGTGTGAGTCTATCTCACACTTGCTCTGTCTGTGACTGCTTGTGTCTTACCTAGTTATAAGTTTAGTTATGTATACGAGGTTGTATAAATCATGTATAATTGTTGTCTTGTTGTGAATGTCTTCTCTCTACTGCCTTTACCTGTAACTACATATCGATGTTTGTAATGAGTTCAATAAAAAAATGAACATGAAGATATGATAATAACAGAATGTTTCCCTCGCCAAATTGAAATCGACCTGTCGGGAAGATTCTCAATTTTTTTACCGTACTCAGAGTTTGAGGGAACGACAATAAGTTTCAGCTGCAAAATGTTTAATATTCTACGTCCATTTCCAGAAGCATCAGCCAAAATGATAGCCGTTGGATTATTGGCTCTGGTAGCCGTTTCCGGAGTGTTCTCTGCCTCCGTCCAATTCCACCCCCTCTCCGATGAATACATCGACCACATCAATAGCCTGCAGACCACGTGGAAAGCTGGCAGGAATTTTCCCATTTCCCCAAAGATATGCCCCTGTCCCACATCAAGCGTCGCCTGGGAGCACTCGAGATCGAAAACCAGGCGAATTTACAGACAGTTCACCACGTCAAAGCCGATGACGAGGTCATTCCTGATACCTTCGACGCTCGAGAAAAGTGGCCGAATTGTGAGTCGATCAGATTGATCAGAGATCAGTCAGAATGCGGATCAGGCTGGGTAAGTGCTAAGTGACGAAGCTTCAAGCTTGAATCCATTGCCCTTACATCATGGAAAAGAGGAAGCACAGAAGGCCAGAAGGTTCACAGAACAGATTTACTACATGAAGTTAGACAAAAATAGGGTGATTTCGAACTTTCAAACTTTTTGGACCCCTTCTATTTCTACGTAGTTATAACGAATAATGTTGCGCGAAAAACTATGTCTGAAAAAGAATTTTGCGCATAATCCACCGTACTCAATTTCTTTTCGGGGTCTGGTTTTGGAGATATGACACAAACTTACATTTTCATCAATGGAACACCCTGTATCACATTATTTCGTTGAATTCGCTATTTCCTTTGTCTTCAAAATGATGTATGATACTTCATACATATGGTTTCCAGATATGCTGAACAAACACTGAAACATCAAATTATGATGAATTTCTGCCTTGGATTTTTCAAGTTCACTTGTGTGATTCATTATTATATTCAGAGAGCAATTATAATAATGGGATATTTCTTTCATTTCCTTTATCTATTATGAATTATGTATTATTATTATTCATTTGTTGTTATTTTTATATCCCCAATCTCTTGATGAAATCATCACAAATGAGGATTTTTCAAATTATACTCCATTCATAATGAAGAATACACAGCCCACTAGCAAAATTTTACAATAATTCTATGTCGAGTCCTGCGATGAACATCTCATGGATGCACAATACAAATTCAGTAGGAGAACAAAGAATCAGATCTATTTCCGAAAAGCTTCAAGTTATCTTCGGACAAAGAAGAAACTCATGAATTGAGACTATAAAAACCAATCTTGCAAATTGAGCACAACCATAATTGCTGTGGATATCTTATGGATATCCTCAAGATATTTACTGAAGGATATCCATGTCTTATTCTGCAATGGATATCTCATGGATGTGAATTTCAAATCCAGGGATATCCTGACCAAAATAAGACATATAGAGGATATCCATAAGATATCCTTAGTAATCTGGGTTGTAAGGGTACTTGGTGGGATCCTTGTGTAGATGGTGTATAGGAGAGGAGGAAACTTTGACCCATTATCTCATGGTTTATCTAGCTATGATTCGCCTGGACAAACACATTTTGTGAACCTTGATATTCAACACAGTAGATGTTGAGACAATTTATCCGAGAAAAATGATTGCCACGAAGTACAATACTCCACTCCTCGATGCAGTCTTTTTTCTGACTTGTGCGTAGACCTCAGTAAATAAATCATGAATTCACATTACTAATGATTATCCATTTTTCGGGCGGTAGCTACTGCAGCTGCCATGTCTGACAGAATCTGCATCTCTTCGAATGGAACCGATCAAACTTTGGTTTCGGACGAGGATCTTATGTCCTGCTGCTCGGAGTGCGGCAATGGATGCAATGGTGGATATCCACTTCAAGCTTGGCGATACTGGCGAAGAACAGGAATCGTCACTGGAGGTCCATACAACAGTACAACTGTAAGTAAAGGGTGGAAATGGGAGTGGGACCATTGTTAGAATGCCAGGTTTATCAATCAATCAATGAGCCTCACATGTAATGGTGGCGTAGAAGGGGGCATCTCATTCCTACATTCCTACTTTTTTTCTGATGTTCATGACTCGCTCATTTATAGGGGTGCAAAGCCTACTCCCTGCCTCCCTGTGAACACTATGGCACCACTGGCGGTCTTCCCCAATGCCCATCTGAGGGCTACTACACCCCCGATTGCGTTGGAAGTTGCGATAAAGGATACACCCTCTCCTACAACGACTCAAAAACCTATGCTGCGCAGGCGTACACTATAATTGGAAATGTCGAGCAAATCCAGTTGGAAATACTGAGAAATGGTCCAGTGGCAGCTATCTTCACCATGAACAGCGACTTTTTGAATTACAAAAGCGGTGAGTGAATTTTGAAATAGAATATGAAATAGTCATGGTATGAATAGATTACCCCGCAACTACCTAAAATTGCTATATCATCAAGTTCCAATTCGAATATAATTATATATGGAGTCGAGAAGATCTATTCTGTATTGTATTGATTGTATCTGGTCACACGCGATAAAATAGTTATTTATGTATCAAGGGCGTAAAGTAGGCGTTTATGGCCTGTGGCGTGGATAATGGCCCGATGGCGCTAGCCGAGGGCCATTACACGCTGAAGGTCATGAACGCATTTCACGCACGAGATACATAAAAATTTTTATGAACTAGTGGTTTATTTTCTGACTCATAAGTAATGACTATAGATTTCGACAAACTAATATTCCCCAGAATTTAATTTGTTACGTATTAATTCAGTCATCAAGAGAAGCGTGATGTTCATGGATAATTTACATATGAAAATTATCGTACGAATATTGCAATTATCGTAATAGTAAAACTCTTTCAGCTCTAGAAGAGATTCATTCTTCAGAGTTTTACAATATGCATAACCAGTATATAAACCTAACTTATTTAATTTTGACGTTGTCAATCAATCTGATGGTTGTTGTCAGCAATACATCCAATGAACGAGCTGAATTGTCATTCTTGGACTGAAAAGTAAAATTAGCGATAATAATAATAGCGAGACTATGGAATCGGCTAAAGAAGAAGTTTATGATATACCGCTGGATATATTAGAATCTAGGAATATGATCATAGGTTTTTCATGAATTGATATGTGGATATAAGGTGACTGAGAACAGCGGGCGGTAAAGTGCGACTTAACGCCCGCAAAACCGGGCGGTAAAGTGCACTTTACGGCCCGCTAGTGCATAAAAAAAAAGATTCAGGAGGAGTTCAACGTTCTCCTTAACCCAAAACTCCTTTTCCATGGATTCTGGATTGGATACAGGAGAACTTAGCCAATTAGATTTTGCAGATGCATATCACACTCTCAGCCTGAAGAAGTCTTTTGCGAGTTAGACCATACCTTGGAGTATTTCTATAGTAAGACTGATTCACCATATCTCTGAGTTGCATCAAGGGTTTTAGCGCCATTCAGTTTTGATCCATCAGCTGTGTACCGCCTCAGACCAGTTGAATGACCATATTGTTCTTCGTTCGCTTCTATCATGTGTGAACTTCTAAAGTACGCATGTTATTCTGTTATATCCATTTGTGGACATCTATACAGGGTATATCACGACGAGCTTACACTATCTTTTTATCGAGAATCAGTCGGGCGAAATCCATGATAATGTGCATGTTTATATCTTAGAATACACTCTCTCAATTTGAAAAAAAATTCGACAATGCAGTGTTGCCGTTTCTACTAGAAAGTAGTAGCAACATTGTTCAATTGAAACACCCTGTATTTCATCGCATCTTCAGATTCTCCCTAAAGAGCTAATTCCATCGATAGATCAAGTTTGTGGTCTATCGAGAATTACTACAGAGATATAGGGTGTTCAAGATCGAGATCTACGGCTCACATATGTCCCTATCTCAGCTTTGCTTCATTATTTACTGATATTCAATCAGAACAGATACAGAGTGGTTCAAGATTCAGAATTCTGATCAAAATAAACTGGGTGTATTGAACAAGGAATCTATCATAGCCCGAGCAACGCTTTTTGACTCAACGCTACAACGTCAATCTGTCATAATGACAATCCTGTTTTCTTGTCGTATACTAGGAGATCCCAATGTGCTTGATACCGGGTGATTTGAAAGTATTATTTCAATATATGTGTAGTAGGACAAATCAGATGATTTGCCCCAAAATACCACTGCGTTTAAAAAAACTTTCTATCAGGGAGCCTGAAAGAAGAATCGAATAGCTTGTCAGTGACAATTTGTTTGAAACATACTTGAAGGTAAGAAATATAGATATTTAAAAAAAACTATTGAATGTTCACTCATTTTTGAACGTTCAAAAACGTATATGTCACCTACATTGACTCTCTTGATTTCATTCTGTTGTACCTTCAAGTCTTCTTAGGAGAACTTCCACATCTTGGATCTGAATGAAGATCTGTCCTTTCATTTCACTTTCCTACATTATATCATGAGCAGTCACAACAACATACCATGCGCTAGATGATGAGTTGTCCTTTTTCATTGTATCAGAAACACATGTAGACATTATTCAATACAATTACTTTCATGTTCGTTTCCAGGTGTTTACCAAGACATTTCGTTAGACTATTTTGGAACACACGCAGTCAGAGTGATTGGTTGGGGTGAAGAGAACAATGTACCTTTCTGGCTCATCACCAACTCCTGGAACGAAGACTGGGGAGACAAAGGAACCTTCAAAATCCGACGTGGAACGAACGAGTGCCGAATCGAAAACCAAGTTTCAGCTGGTCTGCCACGATTGTAAAAGTAGTTTTTGTCTAAAAGTTACCTACATATTATATCAGATCTTCAACATGTTTTTGTAATGTCATTCAATCACTCTTCCTGTTGGTTTTTTGTTCATGTATTTATTGTTACAATTGAGAGTGAATGGACCTTCACCATATCACGATTACGATTACAGAAACATATCCACATCGGTAATCAGGTCCAGTTCTCGACCGGTTTTATACAGCATAGCATCAATCTTCATCGTATTTGGTGAAGGAAATATATTTTTTCTACTACTGCTATGAGAAGTATAGCGCATCCGTCATAGCTTACTTAGTTTCAAAACCATGTATAGCTCATACTGCGAGAAATATTTTTTCTCACGGCACTTTGCCAACACCACGTACATTTCCATGGAGAATCAACAAGAATCAACCAAAACTTGGCTGCTGATGTTCAGCTTTGAATAGTTGTCACAACTGTTATAAGAAGTGTTTCAAATTCTTTAGGGTAGTTTTCATCAGTGCTTCTGATAGAAATCGCATTTTCCATCGAATATTATTTCAACAGTTCATAATAAATAATTTGATGTATATACCGATCACCAAAGATGTGACGAATTTGATAAATACACCGCCAGAGACAGAGATAATGTAAAAATCTGCGAAAGTTGGATTTGTTTCCGGAAATTTCAATGAGAAGTATGAATTGGCATATAAGAAAAATTTATGAAATATAAAAAAAAACAAATAGTGGGGTCGGATAGCGGAAAAAAGTTTCACATCTGGCAACCAATGCGCCCTTTTGGATTCAGATAGTACATGAGTAGACGCGTTGAAAAAGCTCGGGACACAAATTTTTCTGGCTCTCTAGCGGCGTTGATGACGTAATCAATATGGCCGCCATAGTTTTGTGGCAAGCTTTTACATTTCCCTGTGTAACTCGGGTTTGTATTAGAATATCAACCAAAATTAGTAGTGATTATTGATGAGGAGAAGGCAGGCTTTCCAACGGTATGAAATACATTATCGTTCAAGTTTGTAATTATAGAAATAATTACAACATAATTATTTTTTTTATTCAATTTTGATTTCTATCGAAACATTTTGCTTTATTGCTCGAAACCCGTTGCATATAGCTAAAAACGTAGCAGATACTTTTTGTTCATCAATGAATTAGCTTTTGGATGGTGTATATGATTTATATTTCATAACTGAAAATGTGCCACAACAATGTAGTGTTGCACAGTTATGACAGCAATGTAATACTGGCTCTAAATGTGTGGAAAGGATTATTCTCAGATAAATTATGAACATACAAAAATGAATATATATCTATATAAAGCAATACATTGAGAGTTCGCATTATCTATGTGATGAGAATATCAACTCCTTTTCAGTTTATTCAACGAACATTGAATTATATCCATTGAACACACACGATAAGAGTTTGAAAATAAAATCTTTACTAGGCAGATGTTATTTGAGATACGTCATGATATGAGAAATATTTCACTTCAGTCGACAATAAACAGAACAATGTCAACGAAGAGGAAACATGAATTTGTTGATGCTACCACTGAACCAGTGTTGGCTCCGTTTGTATGGGACCTGTGTTTGCCAAAAGCATTCCAAGGCGCACCTAATCATTCCGAAGTATGAAGATTACTTAACAACGGCGAAGAATCTCACAGTTTTTGCTGAACATGGTGAGCTTCCAAGTGCTATTAGAAACTTGAATCAGTTGGACGATGGAAATGGTCTTTTACAAACACTAGTAGCCCGTGAAGCAAAATATCACAAATCTTGCAAGAACAATTATGACAGTCAAAAGGAGGAAAGACTGTCTCGTGGGAAGAAACAGAAAGAACGCCCTAATTGCACAGACGAAACTCCATCTACTTCAAAATTAACAAGAGCAGCATTATTTTGCCCTGATGTGAAAAAGGTGTGTCTCTTTTGTGATGAAGGAGAAGATAGAGACAGACTTGTGGCAGCATCCACGCTGGGAATTGGGCCTACAATTCATAGTCATGCTATACAATCACAAGATGAAAAATTGTTGAAGAAGTTATCGTCAACAGATTTGGTAGCGTTAGATGCCAAATACCACAAACTATATGCTATACTCGCTTCCTAACTAGTGCAAGAGCTGCTGAACGTAGCCGAAAAGGTGATCATTACAATCCCGAAGAAGTTCCTTATGGTACTGTTATAACGGAATTGGTTCAATACATGCAAGATTTTTACTCATCTAGCAGTACTTTCCCAGTGTTCAAACTTTCATATCTAACAAAATTAGTATCTCATCGCATGACAAACATGGGAACGCAAACTGATGAGAAAAATATCAATAGAACACGTCTCAAAGAACAACTATTATCATTTATACCTTGCCTGAGAGCAGATAAGTCAGGACGTGAAATTATTTTGAGTTTTGAAGGGGATGTTGGCGATGCCATTCGTGATGCCTGTGCATTTAATGACTTCAGTGATGGTATGTGTCTGGGACGGGCAGTAGGTATATTACGAAGACTTTTTGAAGATTTTCCTAGATTTGAAGGATCTTTCAAGAATACATTCAACATATTAAACGAGCTACTCTTCAAGCAAGAATCTAGAACAACAGCCTCGATTCACAATACGCAATACCTCCCAACCAATTGGGGATGGACTGTGACTTCAGAAGGTTCATACCGACCTGTGTGGACAATAATTCCGGAAGTGGCAAAACACTGTGTACAACTTACCACTTGTACTTGCCGCAAGAGATGCACATCTTGTAAATGTATTAAAATGGGAATACGATGTACAAAACTTTGTGTATGCGAAGGTTAGTGCTCCGACAGTGATCGGTAATCACAAGGGGAATTTTTAGTTTTCCAACCCTTTAAATATTATTGCAAAAAAATATTCTTTGTATACCAGTTTATTTTACGATATATGTACAGAATTTGCATATTAAATTGAAATAATATTGTATTCATTTGAATTCTTTTATTTCTCGTTCGTGTACCTATATTGATTGAAACTTATCTCACAATCATCTTGGGTATGACTCCTATTACTGATTTTGAAACGGAATAGAATTTCAATTGCAATGAACATGCTACAATTTATTTAATATACATAAAAATTAACAATAAATACATTCGCTACTTATACATATATTATATAAATTACATTCTTGCCATAAGTGTGCAATGCTACATTGTTTTGATACATTTTCAGTACCTGTTTGTTATAAAATGAAAGTTATATATATACCGTTCGAAAGCCAACTCATTGACGAACAAAAAGTATTCGACACGTTTTTGGCTATTTGCAGCGGGTTTCGAGTAATTCAGCAAAATGTTTCGATAGAAACCAAAATTGAATGAAAAAAATAATTATGTTGCAATTATTTCTATAATTACAAACTTAAACGATAATGTATTTTATACCGTTGGAAAGCCTATTTTCTCCTCATCAATAATCACTAATGATATTGGTTAATATTCCAATACAAACCCGAGTTACACAGGGAAATGTAAAAGCTTGCCACAAAACTATGGCGGCCATATTGATTACGTCATCAACGCCGCTAGAGGGCCAGAAAAATTTGTGTCCCGGGCTTTTTCAACGCGTCTACCCATGTACTATCTGGATCTGAAAGGGCGCATTGGTTGCCAGATGTGAAATATTTTGGTAGAATTTTTAGTTAACCGACCCCACTAAAAAAGAAAACCTTTTTCGAGAAGTGTACTCTTTTGGAATACTTTGAGGAACTAGGAAAGGCGTCTACTCTCTGGTCACAATATTCAATATGGCATAGTGCCACATTATGGAATGAATAAGTTACATTACTCGGAATCTTTGAATAAGTAAAGTTGTAGAAAAAGTATAGAGTGCAACATGTGGGGAAAAGCACTTTTCTCACTCGTGTGTTTGCATCACTCAACCTTCAGGCTCGTGCCACAAACTTTTGCACTCTTGAGAAATCTTGAACTTGTTGCACAATATACTATTATTCACAACCATTAGTGGTGCCCGCGAGAGTCTCGTTTTCGAGAATCTCGCATAGTCTCGTCTCGTTTTCGAGACAAGACTCGAGACGAGACTTTTATTGGTCTCGTCTCGAGTCGCGTGCAAGACTTCTCGTGTCTCGTGCGAGAGTCTCGCATGTAAATATATCTGCGTGCCGACTGCAGACTTGAGAATTTCATTCATAATGAAAGATATTTAGAAAGAATTCTATAAGGAAACATCGAAATGAAGGCTGATCTGACTGATAAAGGGTTTTTTTCTCCAATCGGCAGGGATAGTGGCTTTTTCCTGCCGCTTAACAGGCAGAAGAGGTGTACTTTTGCTGCCTAGGCAGAAAAAGTTTGTTGCTATGCAATGTTTCAGAAAATTCTAATGAAATCAGTAATCAAAATCGACACTGACATTGGGTGAACACAAAATGGAGTTTTCAATAAAAAAAATACACAAAAATGGTTATATATATCATATTTGGAGAAAAAATTCCATGTTCCACACAGCAGCAAATGTAGATTGACTATTTCCCTGCCTTGTAAAACAACTTACTATTTTCTCAGATACCCATTTCCCAAATAAGTGAAATAATGTTGGATTAAAGTTTTTGTTTTGTTTATTTGTTTAGAACATACGTGTTACTTTTTATTTTATTTTTATAACTTCCGAATATAATATAATGCTATGTTTTTTCTTCTCAAGGTACTTACTTTTCAATGAATAATGTTATTTTTGTTGTAATTTTCTCTTCCTACTTCTACATTATACCTGAAAAGTAGGAAAAGGTGAATATCCCGTACTAGACTGAAACAAGATTATGCATGACGAAATTGCGATACTTTTGCGAGACTCTCGTACGAGACGCGAGACAAGACGAGACTCGGGGCTGCGAGACGAGACTCGAGACAAGACTTAATATTTTATCGCCGAGACGAGACGAGACTTTATAAAAGTCTCGTCTCGTTGGTCTCGTGTGAATCACTAACAACCATATATGTAATGTTGTCATTACTGACGTTATTGAAGGTTGGGAAGTGTCACACACCACTACTTCCCGCCCTTACTTATGTAATATTATAGTTATGTTCAAAACGAAACAGAGATTTATTGATTTTGATCGAAATATGATAGTTGTGAATGAAATAGTATACAAACCTCGGTATAGGAAGATTCATTCCTGTCTCGAGATCATAGCTATCCTCGACGCTTTGCGTCTCGGTTAACTAACTAATCTCACGACAGGAATGAATCTCTTTCCACCTCGGTGTGTAATATACTATTTCTCAGGTAATTGGCAATAAATCAACTCGACCCTGCGTTCAAGCTGTAATATCCACAATGATGAGATTTGCATCGTATCCACTCAGATTGTGAAACACAACAGGCACCACATGACTATCCTGGTATCGAATGTTGCAGCTTCCATATGCTGGACCTCTATGATTATTCTCTGCAATCATATGAGTATGGTCGCGAACTTCCTTAACATCAGGTCCAAAGGTTGTTCACATATTTATGTGGCATTGCGTTGATTTCCAGAATTCTGCTTCCTGCTCAGTGGTCATGTTGATGTTGTATGGACATAAAAACACCGTAGACATATCCTCGGCCAACTGTATGAGCTCATCAGCGAATCACGCCATAAGGTCGTGCCAACGATATGAGCGCTAAACGGAGAAGGGTCGTCATATGAATATTCCATAAAGTATATAACGGCAGCTGAAACGTGATTCATTCTTACGCAATTCTCAACATGTTTATCGGGCTTACCTTGAGACCGCAAATGATGGAGACAGCGCTAGCAGAAGGATTTATGTTCATTTTCTCTGCTCAGTTGAGAAGATAGAAGTCTGGACAGATCCTTTATCCAACAATACTAATACTTGATAGGGGATGAAAGCTTCTTGCAAGCATCTTCTCCATCAAAGTATCGATCCTGGACAAGTAGGAGATTGAAGTGTCTGTCTTTCTTTTCCTTCGTCAAATATGTAGGAAGAGTCTGCAAGTGTTTGGACTTCTCCTGTAGAATGTGGAGATTGATTGACAACCCATTCTGCTTTCAAACCGAGAAATCTATTTCGCAGTCATTGGAAAGTGAATGACTCCGAGATGGAGAACTGTAGAAGGGTGTTGGTATGAGGATGTTCGATTAATATTTTCCCAACCCCCAGATTAATAATGTTCTCCAGCGCCCAGCTTGAATCTCTTTCCTGAAATTCCTTCAACTCGACAAGATGGGTATCAGGATTCTATCATCGAACTATACATTCAAATCAGAACCCTTGTAGATAGGAGAGCTCCCCGAAGGAAACTGAATTGACCTTGACCGCAACATCTTTCTTGAGAGCGTTCTGAATGCGTATTCTGAATAGAGCACTGCAATCAGTCGAGTTTGAGATAACTCCAGTTCGAATCCTGCTATTGAGAGCAGACAGAGATTCTTGATATAAGTCCAGATCCCTTTTTCTGAAGAGCTTCGAACTGGTTTCGAAACGATTCCAGATTCCCCAGGCAAGCTTCAAAGTGTTGCTCCTTCCCAAAATTCTCAGATTTTCTCAAAGCATTATTTAAACGCCTTCTGGCATTCTCGAAGCCATTTTTCAACGCGATTCTCATCATATGAGGATGTTTTGAAGCCAAGAAGAGTAGCCTTGTGCTTAACCAGTTCAGCAAACATCGACATAATGTTCTGTCATATCAAAACAGTTTGGTACCAATGTTGATACTGAGGTAGAGAAAATGTAGATGATATACAGTTTCTAAAAGTTATCGTTCGCAATAAAATTGGAAAGCTTAACCTCAAACTGACCTAATTATGATGCTGATCCAACTCTTTATATATGATAGATAGAAGCATGTGTAGGTAGGATTTAAGGAAAAGCGAAACTGCTAGAAGGGAATCAAATGATAAAAGTGGTTACATTCACCTCGTATCCAACCTCCTCAATCCCTATATCCATTGACGTTCGATAGATCAGATGAGCTCTGAAGACACGACAGGTCCAGAGGGCTGCTGAAATAAAATGAGATCAGCACAAATGGTGGTACTGCATATGTTATTGCTTTGGGAATTTTCTGATAGATTGAGAGGTAAAATTCCAATTGAGAAAAACAGACGATATTCACACTATAGTTAGTTATATAATATGGTACTCATTGTTCCAGATTTTTTGGGATTTTCACTCCTCGTTTCTATAGAATAAAAATATGAATATTATTTCAATATACGTGTAGTAAGGACAAATCAGATGATTCGTCCCAAAATTTCAGTGCGTTTTGAGAATTGTCCTATCAGTTTGGAGAAGAGAAATGAAGGTATATAGAAAAAATATCATTTTTAACTTAGCTTTGGACGTTTTGAGAACGAATCTGCTCCCGTTTTCAACATGAAAAATGGATTTTTTGTATGGCAAATTCGTATTTGCCCTGACAATTTTAAGTTTAATTGATGAGAACATCCTGGAACAATCCTTGATTAACCTACAGACAGTATTTATGTGATATACTATTTCAATACAATTTATCTGTGCTCAATGATGAAAAAACAAGGCTATATAGAGATCAATTAATTTTAATATCAAGGTGTTATATTTTATTGTTGAAAATCATATCAACAACTTCCTAAGCAGTTGAATGCAATTCAGATGAATTTTTTGTGAATTTCATGAAGAGAAGTTATCATGAGAATGATTTTATATCAGAAAATTGAGAAAAGAAAGGAATTCCAACTACCTTCACTTCTAGATATAAAATGCCAGCTATACAGGGTGAAATAAATAATAATTGAAATAAATTCATCAAAAACAATACTACAGCGACCCATATATCGAAGATGAAGAACTTACTTTTCAGAGGAATTCTAGAGAATTGATTTCTAATCTCAATGCCAGCTATACAGGGTGCAATAAATAATAATTGAAATAAATTCATCGAAAACAATACTACAGTGACCCATATATCAAAGATGAAGAACTTATTTATCAGAGGAATTCTAGAGAATAGATTCCTAATCCCAATGCCAGTTATACAGGGTGATTGATTTCCAATTGTAATTCAGGGCATAGATATTTACGTAATCAGTTAGGAAACGCGTTGTTTTGTGTAACAATGGGATTTTGCGGGACAAGCGAAACGAGATCCCGCAACATCACAGAGTTACACAAAATGGCGTTTCCTAATGTGTCACGTACAATATTTTTTCTAATTTTGACGAAACATTTCGCATGAACAAAAATAATGACCAGTTTTACATGAGTTCTGTCGACTCTTCACACAAAAACTGGTGTTGAAATGAACATTACATCACCAGATATGTAAAATTTTACTTTACGCAACTGGTTACGTAAAGTAAGACGTTTCAAAACTTCCGTCAGTTTTGAAAAGTGTCAAATTATATGTCGAAATTAGAAAAAATATATTTCATAATGCTCATCTATAATTCGGGCAAGTTTTTCATTCATTCGTTCATTCATATTCGTCAGTACAAATTGATTTGATATATGAGATCATTGATCTGACAACTCTGCACTGTCTATGTTTTTGTGCAGTTATGTTAAATTATTTTCATTGGAACGGGCAAGAAAGTAATATATCATGATATGAAATTTCTAGACCTGAATTTCTTGATTTTAGCATCCTGTACATAGACGAATTTTCACATGCATTAGATAAAACCTGTAGTACCTACAGGTAAATCCTCAGTTCATATAGTTTGCCACTCGACTATTCAAAACACATTTAGGTATTTTTCTTTTGTTACATTTATTCCATAGATTCATATCTTTTTATCAATTATTATTGTTCAATAATTCTAATTTGTCTTGACAGGTACTTGTTCGAGAGTAGATATATTTGAGAACAGGAAAGATATCAGGTCACTTGACATTCAGTTGTGAGATACAATCAGAAAAGGTGAGTGAGATCCAATTTTTTTCAATGATAAATGACTTGATTCACAAAGTAATATTCTAACAATATTGCAGCAATGTATAATGTTATATCAGCGATGGTCGTCAAAATTCGCAACAACTACTGAAACGGGTTAGTAATATTGAGAATGTGATGTTACCAAATCCATTATTAGAGAAACATTATCACAATTATTGAGGTGAAGTAACATGATATGTATATGCGATTCAAGAATCTGCTTCTACCTATTGAAGTCGTGGGAGAGATAGAAATAGAAACAGTAGTTTATTCAACAGAAAACAACTACTTTTCTGGCTATATGCCACGACGAACATTGAATTACATTTATTGAACACACACGATAATAATTTGAAAACAAGATTCGTGATAAGGTTTCCTCAATTCGTAATAAGGTTTCCTCCATTCAGAATTTCTTTTCATGAAATTCGTAGTTTGACCTCTTTTTGCACCCAAAGTTCTACACTGTAGTAAATCTGACCTCACCTCTGTTCAAATTTCCATGCAGTAATCACAATCTCGCGGATTTCAATCATTTAAATTGTTTCAAAGTGGCGTATTTGATTTTTCTCCCGTATTTTGTTCATTTTTTGTTACATCTCTCGTTAATTAGAAGAATTATAAAACATCTGATTTTATGGGAATATTACTAGCTTAGACTGTATCATATCGATGTGCTGAATATGTGCAATTATTTCAAAAACACCTTGTATATATGAAAGAATACATTGAGAATTTGCATTTTATATGTGATGAAAATATCAATTCTTTCTTGGTTCATTCAACAGAAAACACCTACTTTGATGTCTACATGCCACGGCGAACATTGAATCACATCTATTGAACATACACGTTATTCAACAGAAAACAACTACTTTCCTGGCTATTTGCCACGTCGAACATTGAATTATATCTGTTGAAAATTCAAAAAGAGATAATGAAAAATGCAAATCCTCTGAAATTGAGAATTGACATCATCTCTCGAATTGGATGAAATAATATGATGTATTATGATATAAAAATATAACTCACCAATATGTTCAGTATTGACATGAAAATTGGAATGTATATGAGAAGTACTCTTGTAAAAACTCTGATATTGATGAGCTTAGACTTTCCAAAAAAAAATCATTCGTATCAGTGATATGGGAATCAAATATCTCACGAACAGGTTATATGACTCCACTCGAATAGATTCAATTCGGATATCAAATCCACATCAGTAACCTGAAGTCCAGTTATTCTTTCAGCCATTCTTCATGATATACACAATTTTCATCTCCCTATAATATAACTAGAACTATAACGAGCTGACGTCTGAGAATTATGATTTGTTGACCTTCTCCTTTCATCTGGGCATTAGGGCATTCGTTTTTGGATGTATGATGAATTGATATTCATCATACAGGACGTGGAAAGACGTTCTGAATTGTGATAACCTTATCACGAGTCTGCGATTGAGATCTATAAAAGTAACAAGTGTCTATCGTTCGAGTGTGAACCCCTTGATTGGGGTAAAGAATTGGAAAAGAATATTCTCAGATATAATAATTATGAACATAAGAAAAATGGATATACAGGGTGGCATTGAAATAAGTGCAAATATTTCAAACACTGAGAAAGCTCGACGTGTACTATCGAATGGCACTGATGAAAAAAAATTGGGATCAAAATAAAATCTGAGGTTATACACCCCTTTTTGCACCCGAAGTTCGACACTGTAGCAAATTTGACGTCACTTCTGTTCAAATTTCCATGCAGTAGGCACAATCACGCGGAGTTCAATCATTTGAATTGTTTCAAAGTGGCGTACTTGATTCTTCTCTCGTATTTGGATCATCCTTCCGACGATATTTCCGTAAATTAGAAGATTTAGAAAACATATGATATCATGGGAATATTCCTCAGACTATATCATATTGATGTGCTGAATATGTGCACTTATTTCAAAAACACCTTGTATACATATTTGGGGAAATACATTGAGAATTTGCATTCTCTATGTCTAGTGATTTACACGAGACCAACGAGACGAGACATTCATAAAGTCTCCTCTCGTCTCGCCTCTAGTCTCGTCTTGTCTCGCGTCTCGTACGAGAGTCCCGCAAATGTATCGCAATTTCGTCATGCATAATCTTTTCCTTTACCTACTTTTTAGGTTTAAAGTAGAAGGAGGAAGAGGAAATTACAACAAAAATAACATTATTTATTGAAAAGTAAGTACATAATAGGTACCTACATACTTACATCATACATCTAAACAAGGAAAGAAAACAGCATTATATATGCGAAAGTTAACAAACTAAAATAAAATGTTTTGTCTATCTGTACTAAATAATCTGAATTCTTTCCAAATATGTTGAATTATGAATGAAATTCTCAAGTCTGCAGCCGGCACGCAGAAATATTTTCCTGCGAGACTCTCGCACGAGACTCGAGACGAGACCAATACAAGTCTCGTCTCGTCTTGTCCGAGACTCGTCTCGAATCGTGTCTCGAAAACGAGACGAGACCATGCGAGACTCTCGCGGGCACCACTTCTCCATGTGATGAAAATATCAATACGGTTTATCAACAGAAAACAACTACTTTCCTGTCTATATGCCACGGCGAACTTTGAATCACTTCTATTGAGCATACACGATAAGAATTTGAAAACAAAATCTTCTGAAGTAGAGAATTTGCATCCTCCCTCATATAAAGATATGCACATAATATCATTTTAAATTTTCAACAGAAAACAAGTACTTTTCTGGCTATTTGCCTCGTCTTACATTGAATTATATCTGTTGAACATCCAAAAAGAGAGCATGAAAAATGGAAAAAAAAAATTTATCCTGCTTTCATTTCCAGGAGCATAAGTCAAAATGATAGCATTCGGATTGTTGGCTCTGGTAGCCTTTTCTGGAGTTTTCTCTGCCTCCGTTCCATTCCATCCCCTCTCCGATGAATACATCGACCACATCAACAGCCTGCAGACCACGTGGAAAGCTGGCAGGAACTTTCCCAAAGATATGCCCCTGTCCCACATCAAGCGTCGCCTAGGAGCACTCGAGAGCGAAAGCGTGGAGAATTTACAGGCAGTTCACCACGTCATAGCCGAAAGTGAGGTTATTCCTGATACCTTTGACGCTCGAGAACAGTGGCCGAGTTGTGAGTCGATCAGATTGATCAGAGATCAGTCGGACTGCGGATCATGCTGGGTAAGTACTAAGTGACCAAGCTTCAAGCATGAAACCATCATTGCTCTTACATCATTTAGGAACAACGAATATGATGAGAAAGAGAAAGCACAAAAGGCCAGAAGGTACACAGAGTAGATCAACTCCATGAAAGTTAGGGCTGAACCTGTATATTATCCAAGGTTAAGTTTATGTCACGAGCATAGCGTGTAGTATAACCACAATAATAATAGCTCCTCATAGGCGAGTAGAGTACTATAGTTTGTCCACGACTACTATCGTTTTTGATGAATTTGTTTTTACAACTTTCTTAACATACATTATTCCAAATTCTTTGGGATTTCCTCTCCTCGTTTCTATAAAATAGAAATATGAATTTTATATTTGTGACTGTCAGACCGTAGAACAAACTTCATCTATTAAATACCTGGGAGTTATACTAGATCAACACCTAAAATGGACGGAGCATATCAACTTTTTTACAAAAAGGCTCAGAGTATTAATGCACACTATCTTCGAACTACTTGACATACTATCAAAAAAAAATCTTCTCATACTTCACACCTCTCTTGCCGAATCTATAATAAAATATTCTATTCCTGCTTGGGGTGCAGCTTTCAAAACTGCTATTAATCCATTACAAACAGCCCAAAATATTTTATAAAAACTCATCTTAAAAAAAAATAGACTGTTTTCAACACGAGAGTTATATCAAGAAACCAATATTATGAATATTCATTCACTATACAGTTATAACTGTTTGATAAGAATGTTCCATAAACGAACAGATTTCACAAAGACAATTTCAAGAGAAACTCGATCAGAAATGAACCTAGAGTTGAAAATCGAATTCTTCAATAAAACAGTGACCCAAAATTCTTTTTTCTGCAACCGACACAAAAGTCGTCCATTTTGATACCAAAATTAGCGCTTGAATTGACGTTTCTATTACTGACACAAAAATGGGTATGTTGCTAGGCAACATATTTAGTTCCTAGGAGCTAAAGTTGAATTTTAGTTCCTAGGAGCTAAAGTTGAACTTCAGCTCCTAGGAACTAAAAATAAGGGTGGACGTCATCGAGAATGAACAACTTTGTGACGGTTGGTTATTTGGGTTGAGACGCATACCTGATTTGTTTCCGATTTCAGCAGATTTGGCATTTCATACCCATGCTGGAGATATAAATACACCTTATTATAATAGTTTGGTATTGGAATTATAAACATCTCAGTTAAGTATTTTTGTTTTGATCAGGGAAGCCTTCAAGATTCAAATACTCGCTTGATCTGTATTTCATTCGTTATTCTCGGGATGGATAACTTGTTTTTGAATAATCACGGCAAGCAATCGGTTTTTTTGTCTCAAACAACGATGTTGTTTAGCTTCATTTGATTATCAAGTCAAACACAGTGTATAGTATGGAGAGGAATAAATAATCACTATTATCATTGTTGATATGTTCACTAACCTAACATTGTCCACGTCTTGTTCCTATAGCTGGTATTTGCCATTAGAGCACCTGGTCCATACACAAATATGTCACTCTGTGGTTGAATTTATATTGAAACTACAATTCGAACATCCTAGAAACCCTAACCTGCTGTTAATGCAGGTAGAATATTCTCACTACATGGATTATTTGTCAATATTTGCATTGCATACATATGGCACGGCATTGGTGGTTACTTCACATCTTCATTTGAGTTGATTGTTTCGGTTGCAGAAAAAATAGCATGTTTCATTCGGATCAAAAGTGACTTTGTTCGACTCGCAAATTTCGCTTTCGCTCGGCTTCGCTAAACGCTCCGCCTCGCAAATGCAAAATTCGCTTGTCAAACAAAGTGTCACTTTTGATCCTAATAAAACAATCTACTATTCTTTTTTACGGCCCTGAAATATTCAACATTTTACCAAAAAATCTCAAAGATATTACATCTCTCAAACTTTCCAAAAAAGAAGCGAAAAATTATATACAAAAGTTCCCAAATAAATTTATATTCTTCAACTGAAATAGATATTTATCACATCAAGTTCCAAGTGTTTCAATTTATCCAATCTCTTTTGAATCCTAATCAGATTTTTTTTCTCTCTTTCTCTATCGATTTTCACAAAAATTATAAGTATACTGCACATGCCATTCGAATACCATTACATGAGACATACACTTGTACAAATGCCTTGCTGATTTAGACATTACCAAACAGGCAACAATGCCTAGCGTGAGTCTACTCCAGTGAGTCATTTTAATATCATACAGCTCTCCATTTCACCTACAAAAGTCTTGTATATGGGTAATTCAGATCTTAGGAAATGGTGTTGATAATTAACCACTGTATTCTTTTGTGAAAATAAAAAAAAAATCTAAAAAAAATCTCAATATACGAGTAGTAAGGACAAATCAGATGATTTGCCCCAAAATGTCACTGCGTTTAAAGAATTTTCCTATCAGAGAGCCTGAAAGGAAAATTCACTAGCTTGTCAGTGACAATTCGTATTGAAAAAAGTTTAGAGAAGAGCAATAAAGGTATATAGAAAAATATCAAATTTCCACTTGTCTTTTGACGTTCCGGGACTGAATCTGCTTCGGTTCTCAACATAAAAAATGATTATTTTGATAGCAAAGTCGTATTTGTCTTGAAGCTTCTCAGTTTTCAGTGACAATTGGTGACGTTGGCAATCAAATGAGTTACAGGATGTTTCCATTAATTACTCTTGAATTTACCATTTTCATGTTCAGATTTCAGTAAGGATATGTTCAGCTAGTTTCGATTTGTACAGAAGACGGACAACATATGGCAGAGGGGAATGATGATATTGAAATCATTGAAAAGGAAGAGAAAAATCAAGGATTCCGCTTGCATCCTTCTGAAGGGAGAAAATAGCATTGCTTCTTTTTCAGTTGATGTAGACAGAACTGGAATCGTACAGTGACATCAATCAAAATAAGATGTTACAAGAACCTTATATTGCGATTTTCAACTGTTTATTATCGTCAAGTTTGGTCGAAACAAAAACGCATCAGTTCAAACACCATATCATAAACATCTCATGTGTTCGCTAACACCTTAGAAATTTCTTTAATAGTATAGAAGCTGGGTTTCTGGGTTTCGAGACACCCAGGTGTACCAGGAAGCAGAAAGAGATCCACATATGAGAATTCAGGCCTAAACATAAGAAAAACTTGTTCAGGTCATCACTCAAATGCTGAGATATGAAGGTGGTTGTAAGTACTTGGTGGGATCTGTGTGTAGATGGTGTACACAAGAAGAGAAAATTGTGACCCATGTTCTCACGGTTGATCTAGCTGTGATTCGCCTGAAAAAAACACATTTTGGGAACCTTGATATTCATCAACACAGTGGATTTTGAGAGAATTTATTCGAAAAAAAATATTGCCACGAAGTGATGAACTATACAGGGTGATCCACGGTGGATGTCCTATCAGAAGTATCTGGAGAAGGAAAAGACATAACATTCTGAAAATTGCGATTCTTCGATAATTGAACATTCTCTATCCATCTGAAATATTTTCATCGATACAGTGTTGCCACTTCTATCAGAAACAACTAGCAACTTTGTTATTTCAAATGGAACACCCTGTATTTTATCGCATTCTTCGATTCTTTCTGAAGAGCTGATTTTATCGATGTATCACACTTGGGGTCTAGCAGTAATGATTACAGAGACATAAGGTGTTCAAAATCGAGATTTTTCAATTTTAAGACTTTTTTGTGACGAAACTGTTCATTATCGATCAAAACGGCTCACATGTCCCTATTTTGACTTTTGATTGACTATCTACTGGAATTTGATTGGAAAAAATACAGGGTGCTCCAAGATTCAGAATTCTGATCACCCTGTATCTGTTCCAATTAAATGTCAGTAGATAGTGAATCGAAAGTTGAGATAGGGAACCGTTTTGATCAATAATGAATACTTTCGACACAAAAAAATCCTGAAATTGAAAAATCTCGATTATGAACACCTTATATCTCTGGAATCATTCCTGCTAGACCCCAAGTGTGATACATTGATAAAATCAGATTTTCAAGGGGAATCTAAAAATTCGATATAATACAGGATGGTCTATTTAAAATAACGAAGTTGCTAGTTGTTTCTGATAGAAGTGGCAACACTGTATCGATGAAAATATTTTAAACGGATAGAGAATCTTCAATTATCGAAGCATCCCAATTTTCAAGATGTTCTGTTTTTTCGTTCTCCAGATACTTCTAATAGGCCATCCACCGTGGATCAGCCTGTATACTTCACTAAATCCTCGATGCAGTCTCGTTTCTGGCTTGTGCGTTGACCTCAGTGAATAAATCATGTATCCTCATCATTATTGTTATTGATGTCGCTGTGACTTATGATTATCCATTTTCCAGGCGGTAGCTTCTGCAGCTGCCATGTCTGACAGAATCTGCATCTCTTCGAATGGAACCGATCAAACTTTGGTATCGGACGAGGATCTTATGTCCTGCTGTTCGAAGTGCGGTGATGGATGCGATGGTGGATATCCACATCGAGCTTGGGAATACTGGCAAAAATCAGGAATCGTCACTGGAGGTCCATACAACAGTACAACTGTAAGTGAAGAGTGAAAGTGGGAGTGAAACTATTGTTATACGACGCTATACATAGTGGAGTATACTACGGCCTTGCCAAAAATGCTATCTCGGAAACTAAGCGAGATAGAGGTATAGTTACTTTGGAGAAAATGATACCCATCGAATTTTGAGCAACTTTGGTTTTTGTGTGTGGTCTGTCTGTCTGTCTGTCTGTCTGTCTGTCTGTCTGTCTGTCTGTCTGTCTGTCTGTCTGTCTGTCTGTCTGTCTGTCTGTCTGTCTGTCTGTCTGTCTGTCTGTCTGTCTGTCTGTCTGTCTGTCTGTCTGTCTGTCTGTCTGTCTGTCTGTCTGTCTGTCTGTCTGTCTGTCTGTCTGTCTGTCTGTCTGTCTGTCTGTCTGTCTGTCTGTCTGTCTGTCTGTCTGTCTGTCTGTCTGTCTGTCTGTCTGTCTGTCTGTCTGTCTGTCTGTCTGTCTGTCTGTCTGTCTGTCTGTCTGTCTGTCTGTCTGTCTGTCTGTCTGTCTGTCTGTCTGTCTGTCTGTCTGTCTGTCTGTCTGTCTGTCTGTCTGTCTGTCTGTCTGTCTGTCTGTCTGTCTGTCTGTCTGTCTGTCTGTCTGTCTGTCTGTCTGTCTGTCTGTCTGTCTGTCTGTCTGTCTGTCTGTCTGTCTGTCTGTCTGTCTGTCTGTCTGTCTGTCTGTCTGTCTGTCTGTCTGTCTGTCTGTCTGTCTGTACTCTGTATTAATCATAAATGGATATATCTCCGGAACCCTTTGACATATCGACCCGAAATTTTGCCATCTTATTGTACTCAAAACAATATTATGTCATTGAAATATGAAGGAAATCGGAAAACTCTAAGGTGGTTTTTCCGGGTTTTTTCGATTTTTCACCGGAAGTTTCTTGTAACCACTCTACAAATCGCAAAAGTGGTCCGATCGATTTCATTTTTTGTGAAACTAAACTCTATCAGGAAGAGACGAAGCCTATTGAAATTGAGCAGGGTCGGAAAATTCCAAGTGGGTTTTTCAAGGAGATTTTCCAAAACACATGGTTCGCTAAACGACATATCTCCATGAAGATATATTGAAAAACAAAAGATTATCGATAGATGAAGCTCATCGACTTCCACTGAACCATGAAATACTTTTTCCTTTTGTTGATTGGGAGATGGAACAAAAGTGTTGGAAATTTTATTCTCAGATGATTCCAAATATCTCGAAAACAACTGGAAATATCTGAAAATGTTATAGAACCAAAATTATTCCTATTGATAGAATCTACAAAAAATCCATGAAAAATTTTCCTCTGAATTCAATAGTTCGGGAGATACGATGAAAAAACTAAAAAAGTCCCTAGATAATCACTTGCCAATAGGAAACAAAACGGAAAACAAAAGAAAGTGAAATGAGCACACTCGACTGTCTTAATTTTTTTCCCATAAACTACGTAGCTCACTCGACTGTCTTTATTTTTCGCCAATAAACTAGGTACCTAGCTCACTCGACTCTCTTGATTTTTCGCCAATAAACTACGTAAATAGCTCACTCGACTGTCTTGATTTCCCACAAAAAAGAAATATGTTGGCATTGTTTCAACTTTCTTCCGTATTTGTGTCCTAATTCCCTAATGGCAGTCGAGTGGGCTAGGTACGTAGTTTGTGTGGAAAAATCTCCAGTTCTCTGAACTTTCATAGCGTCGTATACACATCTTTGGTGCCCAATGATAGTTTCAATATAAAAATATTCTCATGATATGGTGCCATGGCCTCTACTTCCATCTTACATGAGCAATGATGAAATATCATCTGCTTTTATAGCGTCGTATGAATTATCTGACCTCTATACTAATCTAATACCTAATGAAATTTACATCTATACTAATCTGATACCTTTCAAAAACTACGTACCTCACTTGTTAGAATGCGCGCTTATCAATCAATCAATGAACTGAACCTCAACTGTTATGGTGGCGTAGAAGGGGGCATCTGATTCGCACATTCCTACTGTTCTTCTGATGTTCATGACTCGCTCGTTTATAGGGGTGCAAAGCCTACTCCCTGCCTCCCTGTGAACACGATGGCACTCCTGGCGGCCTTCCCCAATGCCCGCCTAAGGGCTACGACACCCCCGAGTGTGTTCTTAGTTGCGATAAAGGATCCTCCCTCTCCTACAAGGAATCAAAAACCTATGCTGTGGAGGCATACACTGTCACTGGGTATGTCCAGCAGATCCAGTTGGAAATAATGAGGAACGGTCCAGTGGCAGCTACCTTCATTGTGTACAGCGACTTTTTGACTTACAAAAGCGGTAAGTGAATTTTGAAATAGGATATGAAATCATAATGGTATGCAAAGATAACATCGCAACAGCTTATATCAAATCCCAATAAAAATATGAATAAATATGGAGTTGGGAGGATCTATTCTGTATTATATCTGGTCACACGTTTGATCCCGTGGATTCTAGATTGGATAATAGATAAGCTAATTCGATTCTGCAGATGCATATATCGGGCTCTCAGCTTGAGGACGTATTTCGCAAGCTAGACTCAACCTTGGAGTATTTCTATAGTAAGAATGATTCACCATATCTCTGAGTTACATCAGGGGTTTTAGCGCTATTCAGTTTCCATCCATCAGCAGTGTACCGCCTCAGACCAGTTGAATGACCATTGTCTTTCTCTCGGTACCATTATGAGTAAATTTCTTTCCCCAATATGGATTATGCAAAAGTTTTCGAGATATTCAATTTTTTCTGTTTATCTCCAAAATGTAGGCTTCCAGGGCTTGAAAGTTAGTTTTCCGAAAATCTGCTGTACATTTTTTCAACCTTTCAACTAGAATACATGATCAACACTATGGTCTTATGTTTGGATTGAAAAAATTCCAGAAATAATTCAGATAATAAATAAATTGTGAGTACAGAGTCGTATGTTTGTTTGTTAATTGTGGATTTCAATACTTTGTAGTGGTTATTTATAGCAAAATCCCTAAGCCACCTTGATGCAAGAACTATCTAACTGAGTACAAATGATAATCAAAGTGCTCGATACGGGTTTGTTATTTTGAAAGAATAGTAAAAACGTACTCGAAAAACTTCTACTTTTAGTATTCACTTTCTTCAAATCCTGTTCAACATGATACCATTATTACGAATACTCTCGTCTTGTTATTTCTGTCTTTGTTATTCTAGTTGTCGAATTATTTAGTATGTGCAGGGGGGTTAGGTCAGGGCTTCGCGCTGTCCAACCTATTCGATCTGACCTTCTAATCCAACGGTTCAAAAAACGTTCATCTAGGAACGATCAGCCGATAATGCGCTGAACAACCGTCTTGTTGGAATACCATTCGTTCTTTGATGGCGAGAGAAACATCCTAGAGAAGCTCCTGTAGATCATGCCGTAAAGAATTTCCATACATTTCAAATTGTCTAGCAAAAAATGTGGTCCTACTAAATAACCGTCGGCGATGATTCCCATCAACACTTTAACAGAAAACGTCCGCAGGAAACTAGTTTTCCTTGTTAATCGAGGGTTTTCTCCGGCCCAATGATGGAGGTTATGAACATTTGTTATGCTATTTGGATACCTCGAGCAAATAAACGAAAATAAAAACTACCGAAAATAAACACTGATAGATATTTTCCGAGTGGGTTTCAGGCAATTTGAGTTTTATTTGTAACCAGTTAGATAATTATTGGCTCAAGGAAGTTTCAACAAATTTTTTACAAATGTGGCTTAGACATTTCTCCAAAAAATAACCGCTAGAATGTAGTTAAAATCTAAAATTCGACTTTTCATCTACAATTTATCTTCGATCTAAATTATTCCTGTAATTTTGTTATTCCAAACATATGACCATATTGTTGATCATTTATTTCAGTTGAAAGTTTGTGAAAGTGTACAGAAGTTTTTCGAGAAACTAACTTTGAAACCCTCGAAGTCTACCTTTTGAAGGAAAACAAAAAAAAATTTAATATCTCAAAAACTATTAACTTTTGCACATTGCATATTAGGGTTTAATTTACTCTTTACCAACTTCCCTATCACATATCCATCAAAGGAATCTATCGAATTACCAGTAACCCCTGTATAATTGAATGAAGATCTGTTCTTTCATTTCACTTAGCTACATCATTATTATGAGCAGTCACAACAACATACCATTCGTTCAGATGATTATCTGTCCTTTTTTATTGATGAGATGATCTGGATCAGGAAATCACAAGTCGACAATGCCATTACTTTTATGTTTGTTTTCAGGTGTTTACCAAGAAACTTCGTTTGACTATATTGGAAAACACGCAGTCAGAGTGATTGGTTGGGGTGAGGAGAACAATGTTCCTTACTGGCTCGTTGCAAACTCCTGGAACGAAGACTGGGGAGACAAGGGAATCTTCAAAATTCGACGTGGAACGGACGAGTGCCGAATCGAAAAAGAAATTTCAGCTGGTCTGCCACGATTGTAGAAGTTGTCATTGCCTTTAAGTTAGGTACCTACATATAATTATATATGGTCTTCAACATGATTATGTAATTTTATTCAAACACCATTCCTCATGAGAATATTGTTACGATTCATAGTGAATGGACCTCCACCATGACACGACTACGTAAAACTTCCAAGTATAGTCGCTTTTCCATGGGTTCAGAAACTTTTGCTTGGCCTTATGGTTCGTGAGTAGATATTCTAATAGGCACTAATACAAAAGGGGTGGCTGAAAGTACGAGAATACATTCAAACATGACTACCAATGATCTAATGGAGATCTATTTGCCTACGTCACCCATTTATGGCAAGCTTCATTAGAAAAACACGGGGCATCTCTAGCTGTCGCGTTGGACATATCGAAAGCATTCGACCGTGTTTGGCACGAAGGACTCCTCCACAAACTACCATCATACGGCTTACCACCTCAGCTATGCCATCTCTTATCGAGTTTTCTTTCAGGCAGATCGCTTCATGTGGTGGTGGACGGTGTATCGTCTGATAACATTGGCATCAATTCTGGCGTTCCACAAGGATCAATTCTGGCACCAACATTATTCCTTCTTCATATCAATGATCTGTTGGGAGTAACAACTTGTCCCATCCACAGCTTTGCAGATGATAGTACCCTTCATACTGCGTTCAAAAAATATTCCAATACCTACCTCCTATCCCTATCCTCCCTAGGAACGCACGATGTTCTTTGAACATTATAGGGATTCCCTTTCGTGCGCAACTAGCGATAAAAAAAAACACTAATTTCTACAATAAAGATTCTTGGTATTTTCATCACCATATCGACGAGAAGTTCGAAAACTTCACAAACGATAAGAATTCCCAAAAACTCTCAATAACACGATATGAGTGTCTGGGAGAAAAAGTGGTGATGATAATCTTTCATTCGAACAAAAATTACTGATAACAAACTCAGATATCGATTCGTGTTTCGATGAATAGGTAGATTATTATCACATCATCAAGGATTCAAGAATATTTCGAAAAACTCATATTATTACTATTGAACATATCAATGGTGTTTTTCTGCAACCGACACGAAAGTCGTCTATTTTGATACCAAAATTTGCCCTAGAATTGACATTCCTATCACTGACACAAAGTCAGGTATGTTGCTAGGCGACACATTTAATTCCTAGGATCTAAAGTTGAACTTGAGCTCCAAGGAACTGAAAAGGATATACTAGAGGAGAGGTCAGCAAGAATGAACAACATTGTTACGGTTGGTTATTTGGGTTGGGACGCATATGATCAAGGCAGATTTCGCATTCCATACCCATGCTGGAGATTTAAATACACCATACTACGGTTAATTATTTTTGTTTTGATCAGGGAAGCCTTCAAGAATCACATACTTGCTTGATATGTATTTCATTCGTTATTCTCGGGATGGATAACTTGTTTTTCAATGATCACGGCCAGCTATAGTTTTTTGGCTCAAACAACGATATTGTTTATCTCCATTTGATTATCAAGCCAAACACAGTGGAGTATAGAGAGAAATAAATATAATCGCTATCATTATTGTTGATATGCTCACTAACATAGCATTTCCCAAGTCTATAACTGGCACTGGTGCGGTATTTGCCATTAGAGAACCTGGTCCATACACAAATGTCACTCTGTGATTGAATCTATATCGAAACAACAATTCAAAAATCCTTGAAAATTGAATGAACCTGCTGTTGATGAAGGTACAATATTCTCTCCACACGGGTTATTTGTTGCATGGCATACATATAACAAGGCATTGGTGGTTACTTCTCATATTTATATGAGTTAATTGTTTCGATTGCAGAAAAAATTGCATGATTCATTAGGATCAAAAGTGACTTTTTTTGACTCGCAAATTTTGCATTTGCGAGGCGGATCCTTTCGCAAAGCCGAGTGTCACTTTTGATCCTAACAAAACAATCTACTATTCATTCCAGGACGCAACTGGACAAGGCATTAAAGAATTATTCTGTTTCATTACAACAAACAGAATCTCATCAAGTTCTACAAAATTTGGATTGATGTATACCGAGATACTTTTCTCAAACACCTTGGATTTCAAAATCAATCATTTTCAGATCTGTGTGACATATTATCGTATGGCTTAGCATTTGAAAACTTGAACCCTCTGATCTTACTTTTATGATTGGAATTTGATTATCAGCACCTCTCTATTTCAAACTATTTTCAACTCCAATTTATTGGCTCCACCTGTATGTATAACGGCTCTTTGGACTCGATTTTTACACACTTCAAACGATTGATTTGAAATTTGGCATGTGTAAGGTAGGTGCGGGTAATAAGGCCTAGCTAAGGGGGATTTGAAATAAAATGGAAACTATTTAACAAAATCAACGTATTTCAACGTTAATTAAACCTTAAGATCAGGTCCTGTCAAAAATAAACAGAACATGGCAACGTGTGTTATAAATAAAAACATGATTGAACATTTTTAAAAACCTTGTCAGTAGGCCTTATTATACTATAGTAGGATAATAAGGCCTATGACAGTAATATGCATAAAAAATAAAAACAGGCTCCTAACATTTGGTAAGTGAGATCGATAATTGATAATCATGCATTGATCATGCTGAGGTCTTGAAAATAACAACAAATTTATTTATTTAACAACCCTCAGGACACTCAAAATTATCTGTATCATCCGCTGACAAACCGACGCACTCCTCGTGATACCACTTGATGCATTTAGAACATTGTCTCATGTCAGCCATTCCTCCTCACAAACATGACAGTACCAACTCGCCTGGTTTTGTTCAGTACCACTTCTACTTTTGGGGGTTGAGGTCTTTTTAATTCTTCTAGTGGTAGGCCTTAATAACCTCCAACAACGTGTGTAAAGGAAATCTGAAAAAAACATTATTCGGACCTTGATATATTATTCAAACATCGAAGATCGCAGAACCATGACATAATAGAAAACTATAACGCAGAATTATATCAATAAGTGTAATATTTCAAAAAATACGTACGATTGATTTAGACGAATTCTTATTATTCGAGCCACACGACCACTACTCTTAACGAATGACACCGCACTGGTCGCCCTTAGCGACCAAACACATCGCGACAGATTTCAGACGTCATCTATGATAGTTAGCGACCTGTTAGTGTGACCTTGACCGACACCGACAATTTTAAATTGCATTTTCATCATTTAGGCCTTATTAGCCGACAGGCCTTATTACCCGCGCCTACCTTACATAATAATTCTGTTAGCAATGCATCATGAGATTTGTGTTAGACAAAAAATCAAAATGGCGGCTCTAAATTGGTGGACGAATTCTGTAATTATGATCCGATTTCCACAGAATTTGTATTTGGAGGTTTTCGGGGTTGGAGATTTGAAAATTCATTATGGCGGATGCAATATGGCCGACAGGTTTAGTAATCCTGATCCGATTCAATTACATAGTGGTATCTGGGGAAATGCAAAAACTTCACAAACGATAAGATTTCCACAGTAGCTTCGTCAGGTGATATACTGGTACAATGAACTAAACTAACGTTGGCATGCTTAACTTTTATATATCTTACTTTCCCAACCTGAAGGATTAGTTACCTGTGGACAGGTACCATAAACCTCCATTTTCGGAAATTGGGTGTACGGTGTACCCGATCAACTTGAAAGATTTGATGCAATACATATTATTACTCATTAAGAAAACATATTCAACAGTGGTGAACTATTGAGGTCTAATTGATCATTAAGTAAAATGTAGGAATTTTTTAGATTGTTGATTTCTAATGATTCAAAATGATTGAGTTTTATTCCTTCATTTTATACGTGTAGAATTTCGAGATAATCATCAAAACTATGGTTTTCTTCTGATATATGGTTGGCGTATGTTGAATTTGTTTTCTTTTTCATAAAATTCATCTTATGTTCATGAATGCGCTGATTTAACGTACGATCTGTCTGACCGATATATACGAGGATATATACCTCAGGACAAGATCCACAGTTGAGTTTGTATACCCCTGATTTTTCGAGTTCAGAAGTTTCGTCTTTATTATTCTTGATAAATCGTCCCAACGTGTTATTTGTTCTATATGCCACTTTTAAGTTCTGTTTATGTAGAAATGAAGCTAATATTTCAGTTGATGATTCGAAATAGATTGAAGTTCTATAATTTTGAATATTATTCTTGATGGTAGGATAACATCCTTGAATAGGTTTACTATAAAGTTCTTTAGAAAGAATGTAGATATTGTGCCTAATTTCCGAAAATGGAGGTTTATCGTACCTGTCCACAGGTAACTAATCCTTCAGGTTGGTAAATTAGGATATATAAAAGTTAAGCAAGCCAACGTTAGTTTAGTTCAAAGCTACGGTGTTAGCGAAACATGTCGTGTGTTTGAGAATTTTGTGGAATTCTTATCGTTTGTGAAGTTTTTACATTTTCCATGGACTTCCATCAAGAAACGGCCGAGTCAATTCAAAAAATAGTATCTGGGGGTCGTCGGGCTGAAAGATCATGATTCTTTCATCAAAATCAAGTATATCAACAGAAAACACCCTGTTATAAATATCCGATTTGCGAAGAAGTAGAAAATAAAATAATTAGAGTGTGTCGCAAAATATACAACATAGAATGTACTGATTACGGATATGCTGATATCTTCTATTCATGTATTTATCAACAAACATGTCATTATTATTTTTTCTACTTCTCTTCAGTTTGGCTATTTATAGAGGTTCGTTTCTTAATTTTCTAAATTCAAATTTTTGTAGTCAATATGATGTAAAAATATGGATAGAGACCAATTAATCAGAGTACCCACATCGCAACGATGAATTCATTTTGAAGGAATGCTACCAAAATAACATGTAGATGTAGATACTAGCCGGTAGGGCAGTCACTCTGAGGAGTTTCACCATGCAAGCAGAGAAATGTTAAGAAGGAATCATTGTGTCACCCATACATTATTTTCTTGAAATCTGATATGTGTCTGTTTGATATAATATGATATGGGATGGTACCATAAAAAAATATAGAGTTACTAGAACTTCCAGATCCATTCAACCCCTAGAACCCTTACCCCTCCCACTACCTGGATAGTATGTAACAATTGTTGATAATTGACCATCACAGTCCCATCTATCATGTATGAGCTGGGCTTGCTATGAAAAACGATTATGTTGAACTGACCTTTTGCCAGGGAACTGAATACAATTGCTTAGTACCCAGCACTGGAACTAGCTGCCGGCCGCAGTGTACTGATATACTGAGTCCCGCATATGGGACCATTTACTTAGCTTCTGATGTCATGTCAGGAAAAATATATTATTAATCTTGTTTTTACCCATATATATTGAATAGAAGACGCTGAGTAGCTGTAATTACAAATGTTTCTATAATGTTTTTGAAAACTTACGTATCATATTGTGATATCTTGGGTGTCGACCATTGCGAACATGTAGAAATATTCAATACCATGATGAAGTTTCATTCATTTGTGAAAATCTTCGGAACATATCCTTTCTACAGAAGAACACAAAAACATCTAACAAGCAGCACATCGTGCGATAGTAAGCTTGTTGCATCCTGGCTTGCGAATTCTAGCAAATGGAGAGCACGTTCTGTCCTAAAGGTTTCACCAGGCTTTTGTCGTTTCGGTTGGAAACTTTCTGCATTTTCTTCATCAGAGCAATCACGATCAGCTTGGTCATCACCGTTTCCAAAGTTTTTATCCTCATCTAGATAAATCATTGCATTGTCCAGAGTTATTTTAACAAAGCAGAGTTACTTCGATATCTGAATAATCGAAATTGTGGGCATCATCAGACCTCCAATGGATATTCGTAATGTTCATTGTGGACATCCATCAGAAATCCATTGTATGTACCGTGTGTTATATGGGTACAGGTTCTTCCGAATATGGCGAAAGCCTAGCAGGTAACACCCTGTATACTTTCTCATCCTGTGCATAGTCGAATTTTCACATGAATTGTGTAGATACAACCTGCAAATAATGTGCCTCTGATATAGCATGGACCAATTCTAAGTTTACAGATTTTGCCACTCGATAATTTAAAAATCATCAATACAAAATATTTCCTTTGTTATCTTCATTCAATAGATTCTTATCTTTTTATCAAGTATTGTTGATCATTCATTGATCTTTGTCTTGACAGGTACTTGTGCGAGAGTATATCTAACATCGAAAAAGTCCCAATTGGTATCACTTAGTTGTGAGTTACAATCAGAAAAGGTATGTGCAATTCGTTTTTTCCTCATAACACCAATTGCTCGATTCGTTTCACATCCCATGAAGCAAAGTAATATTTTAACAATATCGCAGCAATGTTTCAACGTAATATTACATCAGCTATTGTCGCTATGCTTCATGCAAGGTTAATAAAGGCTGATTCACGGTGGATGGCACATTAGACGTTTCTGGAGAACGAAACGTAGGATTATACTGGTAATTTGTTTTCTTGGATAATTAGTTGTGTTCTATCCACTTAAAATATTCTCAACACTGCGACGTTGCCGCTTACATTGAAAAGTAGCAACATCTTTAATTTTTTTTAATGGAAGACCCCATATATTATTCCATTTTCAGATTCATCCTAAAGAACTGATTTCATCGATATATCACACTTGGGGTCTAGCGTGAATGATAACAAAGATATAGGGTGTGAAAAATCGACATTTTTCAACTTCAAGAATTTCTTGTATCGAAACTATTCAAAATCAGTCAAAACGGTTTTCATATCCCTATCTCAACTTCCCATGTACTAGCAATTGATATTATTTTGATCGAAATAGATACAGGGTGGTCGGAAATCTCAATTCTGAATCACCCTGTACCTGTTTCTATTGAACATCAAGTGATAGTTAATGAAAAGTTAGATAGCGACATATAAAAACCGTTTCGACCAATTATGAGTAGTTTCGACACGAGAAATCTTGAAGTTGAATAATCTCGATTTTTCACAGCCTATATCTCTGTAATTGTCACTGCTAGACCCCAAGTAGTATTGGTCAATGATATCAGCTCTTCAGGGAGGATCTGAAAATGAAATAATATACAGGGTGTCCTATTCAGAAAATCAAAGTTGTTGCTAGGTACTATATTTAGGTCGATAAAGCACAACGAATTAACCAAAGCACCAAATTTCCAGGATAATCCCAAGTTTCGTTCTCCAGAAACGTCTAATGTGCCTTCCATCGTAAATCAGCCTGTATAGTAATATTAAGAATGTGATGTTCTAAAATAATTTATTACAGAAATAATCGCAAATGGATCACATTGTTTTTTTATGGTATAATGTTTATTCATAATAAAATCAGTACAATAATAACAATAATTGATAAAATAATATGAACAAACATGAACAAATTTCACAGAAGTATCATGCATACTTGTTTGTGATTATACGAACAGTCAACATAAGTTCAATGAGACAATTTGATAACTAAATGAAAATATAAATTGTTTGAAGAAACATACAATGTAAAAAAAAACTTACATAAGAATTACAATAGTTAAAAGATGATGAATGGATGATAATATATAAATATGAATAAATGAGTGGAATATTGTGAATGAGATGGTATGGTATTTACAAATGAAGAAGTGATTTGTCTAACGAGATAAATGAACATGTATATTTAAGAATAAAATATGAGATGACAAAATTTCTTTTTTCTTTCTTTCAGTTCAACTCTCTATCAATTTGTGTATATGGGTTCTTTCAGTTTGTTTTACAAATGTTATGAGTTGATTTTTGAAGCGTTTCGGCGAAATTTCATCTTTAATTTTCTGTGGTGAAAAATTGAAAAGTTACCATTATACCACGAAGTCACGAGAAAGATGAAAATAAAAACAATGGAAACTTTGGATAGAAAACATCATTGAGGACATAAATTTGACCAGGAATTAAAATATCAAATTCTACTTTGGCTTTGCTTAAGCTATTATTCAAAACTCATTGAACTATCACCGCTGTTTATATGTAACATTGCAATTGCAAATTCATCTGTAGTTCCATATAAGTACAAGGTGATTATTTATATGTATTCCACTAATTAGCTTACGACAGAAACGATGAAATGGGCAGTATGAAGTATCTCCATGGGCATTCAGAATCATCAAATACTTCACAATATAATAAAGCATTGTAAGCTCAATAATATTATATGAAATGTTTGTTCACTAAACGGTTGAGCTCTTTCTTCTGATCGAATGTATGACAAATTGATGTTCATCATACAGGGCGTGTAAAGAAAATTCTGAATTGAGAAAACCCAATCACGAATCTGCGATCAGAGGGCTATAAAAAAAAACAAGTTTCCATCGTTCAAGTTTGAACCCCTTGATCGGGTATTGAAGTATTGAAAAGGCAAGATATATTCATTATGAACGTGAGAAAAATTGATACATATATCAAGAAATGCATAGAGAATCAGTTTTCTCCATCTGATGGAAAATTGTAATTCTTTCTTGGTATATTCAACAGATAACAACTACTTTCCTGGCTATATGCCACGACGAATATTGAATTACATCTATCGAACACACACAATATGAATCTGAAAATAGAATATTCTGGAATTGGGAATTTCCATTCTCTCATATAAAAACATGTTATATGATTCTAAATGTAGGCATCGTGAATAGACACAATTTCAACACTCAAACACATTTTTATTCGCCCAGGACGGCTTGTACCAAGATGACCGTTTATAGAAATACAACATCAACAAGTTATTTGTTCTGATGCTACGATGCTAATGACTAAACCTGCTTCAATCTTCGATCTCACGATGATTACGAATACCGATGAGTCGTCGAGGCTGCTAGTGGCATTCCTTAGGCGTTCTTCTCAATTACGGGGTGATTTGAACATCGCCGCTTACAATATATTATTGGGAATATTCAACAGAAAACAACGTTACTACTTTCCTGGCTAATCGCCACGTCGAACGTTGAATTACATTCGTTTTGAACACCAAAGAGGAGCATATGAAAATAAAAATCTACTGAAAATGAGAATTCACATTCTCTTTCGACTCGGATTAAAAATATGATGTTCAATGATATAAACTTTGATTATTTGAAAATTGATCGAAATTTTGGTGAAACAATTATAATTCCTATTCTTTCTCAAAAAGAATCAGCCAAAATGATAGCCGTTGGATTGTTGGCTCTGGTAGCCCTTTCTGGAGTTTTCTCTGCCTCCGTTCCATTCCACCCCCTCTCCGATGAATACATCGACCACATCAACAGCCTGCAGACCACGTGGAAAGCAGGCAGGAATTTCCCCAAAGATATGCCCCTGTCCAACATCAAACGGCGTATGGGATCACTCAAGAGTGAAAACAAGGGGAAATTACAAAAAGTTCACCACGTCAAAGCCGATGATGAGGTCATTCCTGATACCTTCGACGCTCGAGAAAATTGGCCCGATTGTAAGTCGATCGGATTGATCAGAGATCAGTCAGACTGCGGATCATGCTGGGTAAGTGACCAGGAGCGGAGTTATTAGTAGTCGACCTTGAAATACCAAGCCATACTAGGATATCGGATATACGAACAATGAGTGCCAATGGAAAAATGACTGAGAAAAAATTGCATGTTTATGACACTACACTCTGTTTTTTTGTTTAAGCCAGCCGGCCCATAAGGTGTTTGGTCTACAGGTTCCAGACACTTCTAGGAAATGAGTCAAAGATACTTTTTCTTTATTCGGTATTTTCATTTCTTTATTGTTGCACCATTCAATAAAACGCGTGTATAGCTTCTCATACCTTTCTTAAGACTTCGTTGGCGATATCGCATCCCTAAAGCTGGAAGTTTTTGATCACATTGTGGCAATTCTACTGAATCGAAAATGACAGTAACGTTGTGTCTGTCACTTTGACAATAACAAACTCATTTGAGGTCTGATTGGCATGACAACAATAATCGAAATCTATGTACATATAGGGGGATTTTTATAATAATCAATTTTTATTTTTCATTATCTCTTAATTTTTACAATAAATAGTGCAATTTGATGGATGATTCTGAACATACTTACTCAATACTGCAACAAACGAACTCAAACTTTCATATTCCATCACCTATCACTTATATTCTGCCATATTTATCATATCTTACACACATATTACAATTCCCAAACTAAATTGCGTGCGGGGATAGGGTTAATCACGCACGCTTGTAGAATTGAGGTTTCCTAAAGATTATATTCTTGTGGTAACAGGAGAAATTAATTTCGCTAACTCCATAAGCACAAATTGACAATTTCAAATACTGAGAAATACGAAATACCTATTATATACATACAGAGAAGTGCACAAAAAACGGCCATTGCTGTATCTTCTGAATCATTCTAGATCGGATTCAGAAAATTGGTGGGTAGCAAGTACACCAAATTGACCTTCAATTGACAAAACAATTTTTGTTCAATCACTTCCGGTCTCACCAGAAACGACCCGAACTATTGATTTTTCAATGGGACACCCTGTATTCCATTCCATGATCGGTTAGGGATTATTAAGATGAATTCAAGGATACCGGGTTTGATAGGCTTGATTCAAACGACTACGAAGATATTCGCGTTCTAAGTTTTCATTTGCTCAATAATTGGGACAGAGAAAGAAGTTTCGATATTGCGAAGTCGCGCCCACTGAGCTTATGGAAACTTCGAATGCAAATATCTTTGTAACCATTTGAAATTACCCCTCAGGGGCTCACAACTTGTGAGTACGGGAATGGTCAACCCGAGGTACCCTAGCCGGATATTCAGCATACTTCAACTTGTCTTGGGTGATATCCTCTTCTCTCTTCCTTTTTCAATCTATCTATCGGCCTTTCTTGGCCAACTTCTCTTTTCCTCCTCCCCTTCAAGCCCAACCTCACCATCAAGTGGTGTGGGGAGGACAGACCGCAGCAGCTCGACGGATGAAACATTTTGGGACCATATCTTTCCTATATCCGGGCCAGATGGGACAATTTGTGGTTATCTATGGCAGGAATGGGGCGATTTGCTGATGTCTGTCTAGGTGGCCGAGGACTGGTCAACGAGGCTCTGGCAACCTAATCCAAGCTGTGGGAACCCGTGGTGATGGATGAATGGCACCGAAGTATGGTGTCGCTAACGGGGCCTCTGGGAAACAGGGCGATATCTCAGAGTGAGTAGCCTTAGCTCTGTGCAGGGGGCACCACAGGGCTGGACCAACCCCTTCCCCCGTTACTCGTTGGAAAAGGAAAACTTTTGGCCTTCTTCGTAGATGAGAACAGGGATCGGAAGAGTAATCTTCAAGTACCTGAACGAAAAGGGTCTCTCATATTGAAGTGGTCCTCAATAAGCACCATGAGTCGTATATGGTAAAATTGATAACAGCATGTAGGTAAGATACAATGGGCCACTAAGCCTAAGTGTCGTCGGAGACTTCGGTCAGACGAGCCTACAAACAGGGTGGAGTATTTAGTGGGTATACCTGGAGTCAGGGGACTCCCACACTATCGTATGGGGGATTGGACCCATAAGGTGTCCATAAAGGATTTCAACCACCTCGAGGAAAAAAAATCGTTTGAAATATCCCTATCAAACCCGGTATCGTTGAATTCGTCATGATAATCCCTAACCGATTTTAGAATAAAGAACAAGGTGTCCTATTTGAAGATCGAAAGTTAGGGTCGTTTCCGGTGTAACCGGACGTGATAAAACAAAAATGAGTTAGTCAATTAATGAGCAATTTGGTATACTTGCTACCCACAAATTTTCAAAATCCGATCTCGAATGATTCAGAAGTTACAGCACCTGGCCGTTTATTGTGCACTTTTCTGTATAAACTGTTGGATATTTGAATTGAATTATACAAACTTCTAGACGCATTTTGATCCAAGACCAAGACTATCAAGACTAAGCCCAAGACTAAACCAGTTTCGCCATGGTCTCGAAAAATCAAGACCAATACGAAGATCAAAACTACATTTATTTTCAAAACCAAGACTGGTCAGTCTTGGTCTCGTTCTTGGTCTCGCAAAGCCTTAGCTATGATACGCCTGGAATGAACATATTCCGGAAGTGTGATATCGACCCAAGGGAATGTTGGAATTCATCCGAGGAAATTGTTCGCCACAAACTGAGAAGCTATAGTTAACTGAATCTTCGATGCAGCCTCTCTTCTGGCTTGTGTAGACCTCAGTGAATGAATCATGGAACTCCATCATTATTTTTATTGAAGTTGCTGTTACTAATGATATTCATTTTTCAGGCGGTAGCAGCTGCTGCTGCCATGTCTGACAGAATCTGCATCGCTACGAGTGGAACCGACCAATCTCTGGTATCCGACGAGGATCTTCTTTCTTGCTGCCCGGATTGCGGTTTTGGGTGTGATGGTGGATATTCATATCATGCTTTTGAATACTGGCAAGAAACAGGAATCGTCACCGGAGGTCCATACAACAGTACAACTGTAAGTAAAGGGTGAAAGTGGGAGTGTGACCATTGTCGGTCTGTGCCACTAGTCAATCAATCAATGATCTGGGTCTAGAATTGTGTGGTGGGCTTTGATTGGCCAGCCCCAATAAAAATTCAAAAATTCCACATGGAACCAGCTCCAAAAATTTCTATAGATTAGATGTTCTTGAAGACTCTTATATTGACAATTAATTACAAAACAACTTTGACTTTTGTTTGAATACCCAGGTTAATTTGAACAGATCATATATTCCACTTCATAGGTTAAAATAGCCTAATAATCAATTCACTCATAATATTTTTTCACAGAATTATCAAGAACTCCTTTTTTCTCTATAATGATTTAATTAGATACCCAAATTAGCAATTTGTGCACTTGCTGCTTTCCAAGCAGTTTTCCATAACACTGAGAACACCAATGGTTTCTTTCTTGTCTCTTCATATTCCAGAGTTGGAGTGGTTTCTTGATGTTCCAATTTCATGAATTGAGGAAGTTGTCATTAGATTTTTCACTTCCTTCGCAGTTGGGGGCTTGAGTTTTCACAAAGATTTCTGAGAAAAAACTTGCTACAAACCGGATTCTCAAACCTTTTTTGTGTTAATAGGTTGCCAGACAGTTGAATTTGTTCAACTTTTGATTACATCTGGAATAACTTGTGTGAGCTCTCATTAGGCTCAACTGGGTTTCCCTGGTGTATTCACTTGTTGAATTGTTGCATTTTGATAAACCAAACTATTGAGTAACATGTTAGTTAGGTTCTCATTAGACCAACAAAACATTCGCTCCTTAGGGACTTGGTTAATTCTTCCCGATTCCATAATGTTCATCTTCACTAATGTTTCATAATTAACATTCTTGATTTTTCCTTTGATACATGCTTGGATGTCATGTCATGCATGTCAACGTCAAATTTGCCTGAATTTAGTTCAGTTTGTTCAATGACAATTAAATCAAGGTCATTCACTCATCAAGTTCACTTCAACACGACATGTCGCAGCGACAATAATGGCTGCTTAACAAAATGTAATCTGTATGTTATCCCCTTTTGGGAAACACATTTTAATATGTTTGTAACGTATTTTACCATAATGTCATCAGTTTCAAACTGGACCAGAGATATTTTCATGGACAAATTTCCCTGTTAACCTGACGAATAAGTAACCTCACTTTTATCAATTCCCAAATTCATATCAACTATTTCAGATTTAGATTTTATGATATTGTATTTTTCAAAATCGAGAGCTCATCAACAAGTAACAAGTCATCAATTCATTTTCACCTTTTGCTCAATATTAAACAAATTTCCACAAAAAAAATTCAAAAAATTTTTTCAAAACATTTTGTTTTGGGAAATGTTTTCGAATATTCAATTTCGATTTCTTTCCAATAGCTAAAAGCAGATTACTCACCCTAACAACACAGGGATGTCCTAGGTACGCCTTTTTTTTGTCCCGCGGTGCAAGGACATGATTGGGACATCCAGGGGATATTCTGCAGTGGTTGTCCAGTGGACATCCCGCCCGGTACATCCCTAGGTTACCCTATTCGTGTCCCTGGAGTATCTGATATCCATTCACATCAGAGTCATTGAATTTCATCATACTATATTGAGTTGAATTTTTTTGAAAATGTTTGTTTTTCTTCCGGAAAATGATTGTAATGAAAATAAAGAAGAAAGTCTCAGAACTTCTTAAGAAATTACCATTTTTCGCAGACAGAAATCGTACATGCATAATGCCCCTCATTTTTAAACACCCAAGAATGATAATAATTATACCCAAGTCCTAACAAAGTTGTATTTATTCAGGTCCTACGGACGTCCTAGGGATATCCTTTCACCGTACTTAGTACATCCCAAGGACGTACCAGAAGGGCATCCCTCGGATGCCTTTTTTTGTGGCCAGCGGATGTCCCTGGGACATCCCAAGTATGTACGTTGTCCCGACAAAGGACATCCCTGGGATGTCCTAGTATGAAATCAGGGACGTCCCTGGGAGCTCCCTAGGATGTACTGGTGTTGTTAGGGTACTTACAGGTATGCACTAATGATGACTGACGAATATTAATTTGAATAAATCATCTTGCACGACATACAACACTTGCCTTCTTTGGTATATATACACGTACACACAGCCCAGCAACCCTAACTCACGACAAAAGTGTCTATCTATCTCCCGCACTCCTAGTTTCTTTCTGATGTTCATGACTCGCTCGTTTATAGGGATGCAAAGCCTACTCCATGGCACCCTGTGAACATGGTAGTACCCAAGGCGATCTTCCCAAATGCCCGTCTCAGGGTTATGAGACACCCGAATGCGTTCGCAGTTGCGACAAAGGTTCCAATCTCTCGTACAACGAATCGAAAACCTATGGTCTGCAGGCGTACTATGTAGATACGGATATCGATCAAATTCAATTAGAAATACTGAGGCACGGACCAGTGAAAGCTTCCATCGAAGTATACAGCGACTTATTGACTTACAAAAGCGGTAAGTGAACTTCAATAGTCATGGTATATCGAAGACTGGAACGTTTGGCACGATAATACACTACACTGTTTCACCAATAACCAAACCCATTTTTAACGCCTCGACACGTGTTTCGCTAACTATGTTTGCATCTTCAGGAGAAGATTAAAACTAAATATCCTATTCTAATGTGCTGCTTATATACTAGGTATATGTTCACCCAACTGTGAAAAATACTAACCGTCAAGTTAATGTTTGTCATGGTTGAGTTCACATTTTAATCTTAATTTTTATTTTACTAAACTATATAGAGGGCTATATGGAATAGGTCCATTATCCTTATTCATTACTCTATAACTATTCTTGAATATCTCTAAGCTTTCATATGCGTCTAGTTTTCTAATGTTATTACCTTTCTTAACTAATTTGAGGTTAGTAATATATGTGTGTTATGATTGTGATTGAACATATGTTCGGCTACACAAGATTCATCTAACCTGCCATATTTTAAATAGGCTATGTGTTCTTTGAACCTTGTTTGTATGGGTCGCCTGGTTTGGCCTATATATGTTTTATCACAATCATTACAACTTATTTCGTATATTCCCGACTTTTTAAGTGTGTCCACTTCATCTTTCGGATTGCCTAATAAATAATTGTCTAATTTTAACCCAGACTGATAAACGCTTTCAAAACCTTAATCTCTGAAAACCTTATCAAGTCCCTTCGTATACTTGGGATTGTACGGGATTGGGATTCTTCTTCTTTCCATCCACTTGAAAAGGCGTAGAATTTCTTGAATTTATGTCTTACGTATTAATTTATCTACTATTCTGATATCATACCCATTGACGCCAGCCACTTTATAAACAACACTTCTTTCAGCATTTAATCTTTCTTTGCTCAGAGGGAACGAAATCAATCTATGTACTAGAAAATTTAAACTTGCCATTTTGTGCTGAAAACAGTGATTGAAGTCATTATGTATGTATTTAAATGTGTTAGTTTCTTTTCTAAAAACATCAAATTCTAAGTTGTTTTACGCACCCCACCTCTGTTGAATTATGAATAACTTTTTTCTGCTTTGAACGATTTGAATTCGGATCAAACTGTTTGCTAGCCCAGTTCATCAGCTATCATCTTGTGAGGTTCTTCATATAAAATCGCTACAGGGTGTTACCTGGAACTGCGGAAAATTTCGGTTAAAAGTATCCCAAATGAAGGAAAACTTTTTTCTAGAATTATTGTCTCCTTATCTTATCTCTTTCATTTACAATGATCTCAAAAAATTAACTTTTTGATTTTACAGTCACAACTTTTTTCCTCGTCAACCGATTTTCAAAATCTCAGGCTCATTTTGAAGCTCAAGTTTCAGATGAAGAGATATGGAGATCAGAATTGACTCAAGATGAACATTATACAGTGTGTCTCACTTCTAATGGAAGCACCCCTGTATCTTGTAATTGTCGAGTTAGGATTCTGAAATTTGCAAGAGCGGTAGATATATTGAAGATACATACTATGACCGAGTGGAGTCGTCTCCAGTGATATACACTGCTCGCCAACAGCCAATATTTCGAAAATTATCCCTCGTCTTCGACTCGGAATATTTCTCAAAATATCCATGAGCTCGAAATAATCTGACCTCAAGTGATAATCTGGATCAGGAAATCACAGGAAGACATTATTCAATGCAATTAGTTTCATGTTTGTTTCCAGGTGTTTACCAACAAACTTCGGATGACGATTTTGGAGGACACGCAGTCAGAGTGATTGGTTGGGGTGAAGAAAACAATGTTCCCTACTGGCTCATCGCAAATTCCTGGAACGAAGACTGGGGAGACAAGGGTACCTTCAAAATCCGACGTGGAACGGACGAGTGCGGCATCGAAGAAGACATTGTAGCTGGTCTACCACGATTGTAGTTTTTTTGCAAAAAAGTTACCTATACATATAATTTTGTAAAATTTTCAACATAATTATGTGATTATATTCAATCATTCATCCTGTTGGTTTTTTCCTCTTGTGAATATTTTCATCCAATAGAGTGCATAGACCTCAAACCTCTTATGAGTCACGATTCACGACTACGCGGGAATTTTCAATCATGGTCGTTTTCTCAATCTCGGTTTATTAGCTTCTACTTTTCCTTGTGGTTTGCGAGGGGTTATATTTGAATAGGCACTGATAGTTTAAGGGTGGCTGAAAGTACGAGAAAACATTTGATAGTGATTTATGCACAAGCAGGCGGTAAAGTGCACTTTACCGCTCGCGGGCCCATTATGACTCGCGGGCCGTAAAGTACTACTCTTATCTCAAATTCTTTATATCCACATACCAATTCATGAAATAACTATAACTGTAAATAACTATGTTCACCACCTTTCACATTCCATGAATCTTATCACTCTACTAACGAACATCTTGAGGAAGACAACAATCAATTTTTTCTGATATTTGGTTCAGTTACGTGAGCAACTATTTCGGATATGATGACATTACAATCCAATATAGCGAACTTCCGGTTCTTATAGAAATGCCAAAAACTTCGTTTTTTAAATGAAACACCTTGTAACCACCAGCTCTCCACCGTCTCGTCCACAGACTCGAGGGCGGGTTGGACCGTGGCAGTGCCACTCTAGGCATATTCATCGACATAGAAGGAGCATTCGACAACACGTCATTTGACTGCATATGTCAGGCAACAAGGGAAAGGGGCGTGGTTTCATCCATAATAGGGTGGATCCACGCCATGCTTTCCCAGAGATTAGCTAAAGCAACTCTCAAAAGTAGCTCTAGCGAGGTCACGCCAAAGAAGGGCTGCCCACAGGGGGGAGCTCTGTCGCCTCTGTTATGGTGCCTAGTAGTGGATGGTCTCCTATCAAAAATAAAAGATTTGGGGTACTACACTCAGGCCTACGCGGACGATATAGTCATCCTGGTGGTTGACCAGGGGTCGGGCCTCGTGAGAGGTACGATACAAAGGGCACTTGACGGGGTGGATGTATGGTGCCGTTCAGTCGGGCTGAGCGTGAACCCTGAAAAAGCGGAACTAGTTCTCTTCACTAGGAGACGCATAAAAGGGAACCTCCCAAACGTCCAACTTTCTGGCAGGTCTCTGCAATACAAAGGTTCAGTCAAGTACCTTGGGGTCATTTTAGACTCCAAGCTGAACTGGAACGAACATATCGAACATAAAGTTCAGAAAAGCATGGCCGCGTTCTGGGCATGCAGAAGAGCGTTTGGAAGCACGTGGGGGCTCAGTCCCAAGATTATCTACTGGATCTACACGACTCTCATACGTCCAATGATTACGTACGGAGCCATCGTATGGTGGCAAGGTACAGCATCCGGCAAATCAAAAACTTAACTAGACAGAGTGCAACGACTTGCCTGCCTTGCCATAACGAGTGCAATGAAGACGGCACCCACAAGGGCACTGGAGACACTTATAGGTCTGGCACCCCTGTACCTCTTCATTGAACACGAGGCATGCAAAGCCATTGCCCGTCTGCGGAGCTCCGACCAATGGAGGAGCGAGGGAACGTATGGACACTCTAGACTATGGAATCGGACGGTGAAGGAATGCCCCCTTCTAGAGATGCCGGGGGACAGTTTCACTCCTGTCATTAGATTCAGCAAAAGGCCTCAGTCAATTATCCCGAAAAGGGAGGACTGGGAGCAGTTCGGGCACCACCTGATCCCTACCACTGGAATCATTTGGTACACAGATGGCTCCAGGATGGAGGGATCGGCAGGAGCTGGGGTATATGGGCAATCTCCGAAAGCGGAACTCAGTTCCTCCCTGGGGAACTTTGCTACTATGTTTCAGGCAGAGGTTTTTGCCATTCTCGCCTGTGTTAGAGAAAATATCAACAGAGGCTACCATGGCCAGCTGATCACGATATGCTCCGACAGCCAGGCGGCGATCAAGGCCCTCACATCATACAGTCAGTTCGCTGTTGGTGTCGGAGTGTATTGATGAGCTTCAAAGGCTATCCGCAGCCAATAAGGTGAAACTCCTTTGGGTCCCAGGACACAAGGGAATTCCCGGTAATGAAAGGGCCGACTCCCTGGCTAGACAAGGAGCAAATAGCTCAGCCATTGGACCAGAACCAATCTTAGGAGTTTCCAGATCCTGGAGCGTCTCAACCATGATGAAAAGCTTGGAAACGAAATTCCAGGAGGTATGGAGAGAGACTCCAGGCATGAGACAATCGAAACTCCATATCGAAGGCCCTTCTATCAGAAGAACCAAAACGTTGCTCACATTGAGCAGAAAAGAAATAAGAATAGTGGTAGGGCTCCTCACGGGTCACTGCCATCTAAACAGGCACCTCAACATTATGGGTATCACTGATGATGCTGAATGTAGGTGGTGCCTGGAGGACGAGGAGTCAGCTACTCACATCCTCATGGAATGCCCAGCAGTTGCAGCAATACGGGAAGCACATCTCGGGAACATCGTTTTGGAACCAGAGAGTGTGAGAAGGGTTTCGTTGAGAAGGCTGGTCTCTTTCGCCCGCGAAATTGGCTACCTTCAAGACTGAACCAATTCCCAGCAGAGGTGGGTGCATAACGGGCCCGAACTAGGAGGCCTACATGCTGAAGGATCCGTCCACCCACATAGTGTAATCTATCTATCTATCTATCTATCACCTTGTAAATTTTCACATATTGAAATTCAACAGGTGAAAACAAGTGCAATCTTTATGACAAGATTCGAAAGTGTTGTTTTCCACAGCTTAGTAGAAAAATTATTCAAAATGCAAGGTAATTCATTAAACTAGTTATTGATTTTATACAGACGGAGTGGAGTGTTGAGTCACCACAGAGGGGGTATACACTGATGGTCATTCAGGAGACTCCTACACAATTATATGGAGCATAAGGCCCATTTGATCTCCATAATTGATTCCAATCACCTCGACAGCAACAACAAAATCTACCTTTCCTCCCTCATTATAATTATTGGGTTTGCACGATGTTCCACGAACATAATAGAGACTATACCTTTTATTCTATACACAGAAGATGAGAGGAGAAGTATTGATACACGTTATTCGGGTGCAGAAGCGAACACGACACTATTTATTTTCGAACTGATTTATTTAAAATAAAGATACACTAATTGATATCGAATTTATAACTACTATTTATTTGAAACGATTTATATCACGCGGTATATGACTGTCTCTCTGACACACGCTACCTACTTAACTAACTGACGGCAGTTGTTCGGCCGTTTATATATGAGAGCCCTTGGAAGGCTTTGGTTCGAGAACGTTCTCAAATGATCTTTCGTCTCCTCCTTTTTGTTCTAGAAGCTTCTTAGAACAAAACCTCTCTCTCTACTTGTTCCATCGATTGTTTCCAGAACATTCCAGAATCTTCTGTGACGTTATTTGTCACTGCGGCATATATTGAGTGTTCGGAAATATGCTGGTGTATGCTGTAGGAATCATTGGGAGGTTGGAGAACAATCTGGGATGCGTGATACAGGATGATCGTTGTAATGATGTTTCTAAAGCCCCTCTAAGGGAAATATCATTACAGTATATTGGGATGTTTTTGCTTCTGAGTTAGAGGCTTACTGTGATTTCTTGAACATATACGACATTCGAGACAACGAAACATGCGTCTGCCATTCTGCAACTTCACTGAAATTCTGAAATCGATATATCAACACAAAGAATAGTCTACTTCACAAAAAATGAAGGCTACAAGCTTCAATCTATATTATTTGTTTCTATGAAAATAGTGTATCATCTAGTTTGGTATTCTTTTTCATATTCATTCAATTTCTGGTCATTCAATGAAAACAGAGAGAGGTGTTTGTTCAGAAAATATATTAATATCAATATATTACATCAATATAGTATACAATTTACAATCACAATTTCATATAACTCTATATACTCAATATCAAAACATCCATCAATTTCTGACATGCCTACCATCGTTTGGAACTACAACCACCAAGATAATAGTTATTTATGTATCAAGAGTATGAAGTAGGCTTAAATGGACTGCAGCGAGTAAGTAAAAGCCTGAGCGACATGTATCAAGGAAGTAAAGAAGGCTTTCATGGACCGCAGCGGATAAGTGAAATTGTTATTAACACGCTTAGGTCCATGAAAGCCAGTTACGTCGGAAATACATGCAATATTTTTGCACGATCGTTTCAGACATGTTTTCACTGTCAATATGGACTTAATTAATTGTTTCGAATTCTTCTGGCCAAATTATCTATGCCACTGACAGAGAAAGATCAGTAGTCTACTAGAAATTATTGGAAAAGCAGTGAAATCACTTTACCGCCCGCCGGACCACTTTACCGCCTGCTAAAGTGCTACTTTACTTCCGCTCACCCGGGCGATAAAAGGCCTCTTTACGCCTGGTCGTGAATAAGAAATATTATAGGTGAGTAAACATCATTAATTTGTTACAAATAATCACTGACTTGGACATAAATTGTCAAATCATAACCACCATTTGATCACATTTTACTAAGATAGTCCAAATATACTTCAGTATTAGTTCTCTTGAGTTCTCTCATTAGTACAGATAATATTGTTCTTATCACAATGAGTTTCGATATTTTTTCTCAATTTTGTTCTTAGGGCTGCTGATGAAAAATGGAAGGTTCATTTCAAAACAATCCATAAATTTTGTATCCATAGTCCGAAAGTCTTCGCTCGGCATGTCAGGGTGATATTCGTATAATCTTGATAGATCAATAAATAAATATACTCAATAACATCTTTAGAGATTCCAACGGTAACTTGAATTCCAATTTTCTAGCCCACTATACCCACTCGTTATAAAATGCACCCTAACCCTATCAAAAGATTGGTCCAAAAGAGAGAGGGGAAAAACAATACGTATCTAAAACGTCATGAAACGATCTCAAACCCAGTTTTCTTCGGTAACTGCAAAACTTCTTGGCAGTGTGGAACCATTGCTTATTGTTATATTTTTGCTTTCTATATATATTCAAATCAACCAGGTTGTTCCAACATGTCGGGAATTGTAACTATCCGAATTTAAAATCAAGAGTATTTCTTATCCCTGAATATACACGATGTTTTGGAATTGGATGTCTGAGACGTTTCACAGACATCTGAACGAGTGAAAAATGAATTCTCAGAATCACATCGCATCCTTTATTATTATCGGTATCATTTCGTATTTCTGTATTTTGGCCATCAGAATGTATATGTCGACGTCAATTAGTTAAATCCGTCATTCCCTGAGATGCCTAGTGATTTCACGTATTGTCGGCAAACAGCGTAACTTCCATTTTCAGCCGTTACTATGTTTGCTGGAGGGTTGAGGAAGGGAAATACCCTTTCTGCATATGCATAAGAAGGAATACTATTCTTCCGCCTACATGATCCTTCTTCCTAGACAGTATATTTTTCAAAAAGTTTCTTGAGAGAACAGAAGACACTACTGCTTCTAAACAACCTAAGCTGACTGAAACTATTAGGCAAACGGTGTACGAAATTTAGAGTTACGCTGTTTGCCGGCAGAACGTGAAATGACTAGGCATTCCAGAGAATGAAGCCGACATATACATACCATTACGCAGTTTGTGCCATTTCAATTCGCGATACCCTTCTAATTTGGAACCCATTGATTGATTTTCCAAATCACAAGAGTGGATTGCCTATTCAATTCAGGCACAGCAATAACTCATATCAGTTTTCAATTTACCATGTATATAACCGGTGAAGTAGACATTCAATGGAAAAATACATCTAATACTTATTGATTCATTGTTATTGTTCATGTTTTTTTTGTTTCATAAACAAATTTCAATTAACAACTTCCTATACATTATATGTAATAATATATACTTACACTATTCTGCACTGCAAAAAACATTCTTCCCTTTTCTTCACTCTATTTATATTATTCGAACTTCGTCAATAAGAATGACAATATCCTTTGGGCAATTAAGCACAGTTCGAATGATTGATTGATTGATTGAATACTTCTACAGGAATGTCTTTCTAGGTCAACCAACAATTGATCAAATCGAAGTTAAACATGTTTCCATCATAATCCCTATAAGTATATTTGTTCCTGAAGATATAGACAATTGTAAAGTTAATGCATAGTCAGTTGAACAGATCATCAAACGAATGTCGGGCCACGCTGCCACACTCTTTGAACTTTCAAAGGGACCGACGGCTTGCGATGATGTGTTTTTCCAACTGACTTTGCATCAACTATAACTGCTTCGAGAAAATATGCTTCATGTGCTACTATTTGGTGGAGTAAGTGATTAGTGGTTTTTGTGGTGAACCTCATCTTTAGTTTTATTGATTTTTGGTTGACATAGACATCTTTCTGTAAAATCAAGTTTCTTATGTATTCCTCTATTGAATGAATACTTCATTGGTCATATCAACTCCATTTAAATTTTGAAGCATGATATTATTGAAGTTCTTCGAAGAATAACTAACACCTTATATATCAGCTATACCCGAACCGAAAAGGCTATTTATTTTTTCAGGTGAAAATTATGTAATAGTCATTTTCAAAACGTTGACCCCTCCAACGAACAATAGTCACCCTTGGGAGTCTGAATATTTCAGACTCATCCACAGCTCGTTGAGTATTATATTATTATGGAATTTTGTTTTGGAAAAGTGGTCATCGGGTTCAAAATTAGGAGTGTGTCGCGAGTTGAAATCGCACACACTGTATATTGGTATTGCATAAGACACACTGGGTAATTACAAGTGAATTCTTTAACTATATTCTAAACTTCAATATCAAGTTAGTAGGTCTCTTGGAGATATGCGTTTCCGTACACCTTTGTTTAGAGATACTCTTTTATTTTGATGTATTTCTGCTACAGGTTTGAGCCCCCTAGTTTCGAATCACCCAGTAAGTATAACATAGGTATTCATTCATTATTCCAAATTTTTTGGGATTTTCTCTCCTCGTTTCTATAAAATAAAAATATGAATATTATCTCAATATACGTGTAGTAAGGACAAATCAGATGATTTGCCCCAAAATGTCACTGCGTTTAAAGAATTTTCCTATCAGAGAGCCTAAAAGAAAAAATCACTAGCTTGTCAGTGACAATTTGTATTGAAAAATTTTTGGAGACAAGAAATAAAGGTATATAGAAAAAATATCAAATTTTCACTTATCTTTGGACGTTTCGGGACCGATTCTGCTCCCGTTTTCAACATGAAAAGAGATTTTTTCAATTGCGAAGTCGTATAATATGTCTTGAAGCTTTTCAGTTTTCAATGACAATAATTGGTGACGTTGGCAATCAAATGAGTTACAGGATGTTTTCATTAATCAATCATGAATTTACCATTTTCATGTTCAGATTTCAGTAGTGAATACCATGTTCTGTCTATATCAACTGAACAAGAAGCAATGCTATTGTCTCCGTTCAGAAGAATGCAAGCAGATTCCTTGATTTTTCTCTTCTGGTTGTTATCTTCTTTTCCAATGATTTTAATATTATTCCACTCTGCCATATGTTGTCCGTCTTCAGTAAGGATATGTTCAGCTAGTTTCGATTTATCGATGTTTCTTTTCTTTATATTGTACTTATGTTCCTTCGTCCTTACTGAAAGAGGTCTCTTGGTTTCACCTGTATAAAACTTTCCACAAACACAAGGTATACTGTAAATACAATTTTTTGACGAATGTTCTTCATTTTTCGGCTTTGTTTGAGTTAGAATTGATCTCATTGTATTTTCAGTTTCAAACACAGTTTTCACTTGAAATTTATCACCAACACGTTTTATTTTTTCAGATATGCCGGGAATGTATGGTATTATATTTGTCGTTATTGATGGTTGATTTTGTTGTGGTTGACCCTGTTTGTTTTCAATTTGATGAATCGTCCTATCGAAAAAATTCTTTGCATAGGAATTCAGTTGAAGAACATTTTTAATGTGGTGGACTTCGTTATTGAAAATTTGTTGGTCAGATGATATTGATATGGCTCTATCATGGAGTGATTTGATTATTCCTTTCTTGATACTGTTCTGATGATTTGATTGAAAGTTCAAGTATCTGTTAGTATGGGTCTTTTTACGATATACAATGAGATCAATTCTAACTCAAATAAAGCCGAAAAATGAAGAACAATCGTCAAAAAATTGTATTTACAGTATACCTTGTGTTTGTGGAAAGTTTTATACAGGTGAGACCAAGAGACCTCTTTCAGTAAGGACGAAGGAACATGAGTACAATATAAAGAAAAGAAACATCGATAAATCGAAACTAGCTGAACATATCCTTACTGAAGACGGACAACATATGGCAGAGTGGAATAATATTAAAATCATTGGAAAAGAAGATAACAACCAGAACAGAAAAATCAAGGAATCTGCTTGCATTCTTCTGAACGGAGACAATAGCATTGCTTCTTGTTTAGTCGATATACACAGAACATGGTATTCACTACTAAAATCTGAACATGAAAATGGTAAATTCAAGATTAATTGATGAAAACATCCAGTAACTCATTTGATTGCCAACGTCACCAATTGTCATTGAAAACCGAAAAGCTTCAAGACATATTATACGACTTCGCAATTGAAAAAATCTCTTTTCATGTTGAAAACGGGAGCAGAATCGGTCCCGAAACGTCCAAAGATAAGTGAAAATTTGATATTTTTTCTATATACCTTTATTTCTCTTCTCCAAAAATGTTTCAATACAAATTGTCACTGACAAGCTAGTGAATTTTTCTTTTAGGCTCTCTGATAGAAAAATTCTTTAAACGCAGTGACATTTTGGGGCAAATCATCTAATTCGTCCTTACTATACGTATATTGAAATAATATTCATATTTTTATTTTATAGAAACGAGGAGAGAAAATCCCAAGAATTTGGAATAATGAATGTACCACCTCCTCGATTAACCTACAGACAGTATAGGTATTCATCGTTGTGATTCACGATAAGCATGTCCCTTATTGAGATTACGACCCCTCTCTCTTGAAATTTCACAGCGTTATTTTTCCCTTCCACATTTCGTTGATAATATTTTCGTTATTAAAACTGATATCACAGATGATGTGAGTGATCAGACACTCTTTGCGATGAACGCCGATATAGAAATGCCGACGACATTGCCCGCATGCTAGATTCCTGTCACCTAGCTGTCACTTCGTCCTGTATATGAATCTGAAACAGAGATATGGAAATTGATTACACATATTCACAAAGATTTTCTTCCAGAAGAATAAACAGCTTCTCTGTAGATATTCAAGGCCCTGACTATTGAAAAGGAATATCCTCAGATATAATTATGAACTGAGCTTGGAACTTGAGAAAAAATATTTGTATCAGTGATATAGGAATTATATCTCTCACAAACAGGTTATATGACTTCACTCGAGTAAAACTCATTTCGGATATCAAATCCTCATCAGTTTCCTGAAGTCCAGTTATGCTTTCAGCCATTCTTCATGATATACACAATTTCCATCTTCCTATAATATAACTTAAACTTCAACGAACTGACATCTGAGAATAATGATTTGTTAACATACTCCTGTGAGAGATATAATTTCCATATCACTGATACGAATTTTTTTTATAAGTTCCAAGCTCATCAAGATCAGAGTTTATACAAGTATACGCCTCCTATACATTTCAATTTTCATTTCAATACTGATCATGTTGGTAAGTTATATTTCTATATTATAATACGTCATAATACATCATAATTCATCATAATACATCATATTATTTCATCCGATTTGAGAGATAATGTCAATTCTCAATTTCAGAGGATGTTAATTTTTCATGTTCTCTTTTTGGATGTTCAACCGATATAATTCAATGTTCGACGTGGCAAACAGCCAGAAAAGTAGTTGTTTTCTGTTTAATATTCAGAATGATATGTGCAAATGTGCATATACTCATATTTATATGAGGGAGAATGCTAATTCTCTACTCCAGAAGATTTCGTTTTCAAATTCTTATCGTGTGTGTTCAATAGATATAATTCTATGTTCGTCGTGGCATATATAGCCAGGAAAGTAGTTGTTTTCTGTTGAATAAACCGAGAATAAATTGATATTTTCATCACATAGAGAATGCGTATTCTCAATGTATCTCTTTATATAAATATATATCCTTTTTTATGTTCATAATTATATCTGAAAATATTCCTTTTCAATACTTTTACGCAATCAAGGGGTTCAAACTTGAACGATGGAAACTTGTTATTATTCAACTGCTAGATCTCAAAACTAAGAGATCTAGGATGCACAGAGTTGCCCCAATTGTCAGCAGGAGCAAGACAGTACTGTTTCGACCCACCAGGTCTCATCAGCCGCTCTCGGTCTGCTGACAACTGGGACAACTCTACGCTTCGGGTATATCACCTATTTCGAAGACGCAGGGTATAACATGAAGTTATAGTCATGTTGTAGCCAATAGCCATCTAGTGGCAAAGCTCTAAGGTAGGATCCAGAAATCACGACACACACTGTGTGGCGCTGCAATCTATAGTCACACGTACAGACCCTTACGTCTATACGCTACAGAGTGGTACTACAAGTAAACCACTCTGCTGACAGATGGCACTACCTGACATATACTTGAATGGATATTTCCACCACCTATTCAACTGCTAGATCTCATAACTAGGAGATCTAGGGTGAACAGTCCTATTTTTTGTGCATTGTAAAACAGAGCACATTTTAGGTCTGTTTGAGAACCCTCCTAAGATTGCAGTGTAATGTAGGAAGCGTGATGTAGTGTCGTGTACAGTGGAAGAAGTTTTGTGTACAGTGAAAGATGTGTGGTGTACAGTGGAAGAAGTGCAGTGTACAGGAAGCGTAAGGTGTGGAAGTGTAATAACTTGGGTGCCTATGTTCCGTAAATCAACTTGGTGATTTCGGTTAGTAGGTATTCGTTCCGTGAATACGAAATGTTCGGTTGGTTCCTGAAAAATAGTATATGACACACCGAGGTGAGTAGGGATTCATTCCCGTCGTGAGATTAGTTAGTTAACCGAGACGCGAGGAACCGAGGTTTGTATGCTATTTTATTATCAACCATCATATTTCGATCAAAATTAATAAATCTCTGTTCCGTTCTGAACATACCTAAAATATTACATAAGTGAGGACGGGAAGTGAGGGCGTGTATTAGTGAGGGCAAGAAGTGAGGGCAAGAAGTGAGGGCGGGAAGTGAGGGCGGGAAGTGAGGGCGGGAAGTGAGGGCGAGAAGTAGAGGTGTGTAATGTGACACTTCCCAACCTTCAATGACGTTAGTAATGACAGCATTACATATATGGTTGTAAATAAATATTATTACTCTGTTAACACTACACTTTCGAACAGCGCGATTTGTGTGTGTGAGGATTCACGAACAGACCTAATATGATGGCATGCTCGAATGAATAAATATACTAAGGAACACGATTGATATCCCAAAATAATTGGGAAAAACTACATCAATCTTTTGTAAACACACAAGAAAAGTGAGGTTTTAAGTTTGTTTCACCTCCAGGGTCGGTCATCTGTCCAATGTGCACATTGCCTATTGACCGCCATCTTGTAAATTTTACTTCCAATAATTATTCGAAATGATACTATAGCAACCACTTTCTTTCAGAAGGTGCGGTTCTTGAACTGGAGACACCTTTTGCCCAACTGTTATCCAAAATGCTTTTAGCTTCGGAACAGAAGAGGCTTTTCCGAAATAATGGCATATTCACCCATTTATAACCAGCATTTACTCACCTCACTTAAAATTGCCCAATTATCACTTTCGCTGTGAACGTTCAGTCGCAAAACTTTAACTTTACCAATATTCTCGTCTGGTACTCCTGTAGCAATTCCAGTAGTGTCAAATTTTCCTGCAAAATGAAAAATTATTGAAATCAGTCATCTAGGAAAGAACTCAGTACACATATAAAGTATAGTATTTTGTTATTATCCAGAGGAAAAAAATCGTATCAGTGCATATAGGAACTCGAAATCTCGATGTTTTAATGAACATACCGGATACAAGGTGTCTCGTATCAGTGCACAGGAATTCAAAATTCTGATGTTTTATGAACATGCAGAATACAGGATGGCTTGACTGATCTTTGAATAAGGTGGGGATCTATAGAATACTGCTCCATATCTCGTTTGTTAATTCAATAATTGTAAAATAATATAATTTTAACACAAAATTCAATTTTTGACTGGTACTACATGTCAAGGCATCCAAAATAATAACAGGTATAAGAAATGATAGCTATCCTTAAACCAAGGAAGCAAAGGTATCCATTTCTTTCTGCGTGTGGAGTTTGATGCCCGACAAGAAGCGAGACCAAACTTCCAGACAAGTATATATACACGGTGTCCAAAATAAGGATGTGTATCATGGAGATCGTTTATATTTTGTCTGACGTTATTTGGAGAGATTTAGGAAAACGAAAGACACTTTCTCATTGACACTTTCTCATTGCTCTTTTCAAGCTCTACAAAACAACATTGAGAGATTCTCCGTACGATGTTTCGTTTCGGAGAAACCATCATCAAATTCACCCCATGATAGACGTCCTAATCTTGAACACACTCTATATTCATCCAAATAAAAATGGACGATAATAATATTTGAAATCTCATGTCGGTATCCTTTCGACTGAATGACAGTTAACGTGTTCTCTTGTAATCTTGGCATCTACCATCCACCTCAGATATGCCATCTTTCAACGAGTTTTCTCTCAGTCAAATAGCTGGTGGAGAACGGAGTAACGTCTGATACCATTGCCATCAATTCCGGCATTCCACGAGGATTTATTTTGGCACGTATACATTGTTCTTACTTCGTATCGATGATCTGTTGGGAGCTACCACTTGCCCTATCCGCACCTTTGCAGATGATTGGTATTAGTATTACTAAGTGTGGATGGTGACAGATGCCCAGCGACCTTATTAGATCTATTGTGGCCCATCCTCTTTTGCTACCTCAAGGTTTTCTTGTTTATAGCAGCCCCTCAAGTTCCAATTCTTTCAGGAATCTGAGGATTTTGAGGGGATCTGTTTGTGGTATGTCTTCTTCGGTCAGCTGGTATGCTCCCAGTATGTTTGATCCTTTGTGGTGAACAGCAAAACACTTCAGCACGATGTGGTGAGGTGTTTCTGGATGTTCCCCGCAGAATGTGCAGGTGCTATCCTCCTCTAAGTATACTTAGGTGTTCTCTGATGAGTCTACAATGCCCCGTTTGAAATCCCGTTATTGCTTCGAGACTAATTTTGCTGAGATTGATCAGTGTCTTCGATCTCGCTCGGTTGAAATTGCCGAGGAGATCTTTGGCCTGCCGCAGTCCTGGAAATCTTCGCCAGTGTGTTACTCTCATTGCTCCTTAGCTTCACTAAGTTCTTTTTGGAAATAAGAATTTCCAAGGCTGTAGAATGGTTCTGGTTCGATCAGTTGCGTTGATGCTCCTTTTCGTGCCAGAATGTCTGCTTGTTCATTTCCCTCCACTCCGATGTGCCCCGGCACCCAGAGGGGGATTACCTTATTGTTCCTACCTAGAATGTTGAGTTTGTCTAGGCATTCTCAAATCATCTCTAAGTTCATGTTAATGGAGCTCAACGGTTTGATGGCTGCTTGGCTGTTGGAAAGGATAGCGATCTCCTTGTTCCGGTATTTCCTGTCGAGGTTGAACTGAATGCACCCACCTATGGCGTGAATTTTCGCTTGAAAAATGCTGGGAAACTGGCCTACGGTTCGGAAAATTTGGTGCGTGGCCCGAACACTCCTGCTCCAGTTCCCTCGGGTGTATTAGACCCGTCCGTATACCATATTATGGTATTCTTTCCCAGTGCTTGGATGGATTCTGTGTTCCATTCTTCCTTAAGGCTCAGTTCTGTTCGGAAATTTTTCCCGAAATTGAACTTCCTGATTGGGAGATCGGCGAGGTGTGCACTTCCAGTGGGCAGTGAATCCCCCACTTTATGTGCTTTCCCTTTCAGCCTGGCCTTCTCCAGACGATATGATAGCACTCTCCATACTTCGTTATCTTCTAGAATTCCAATTTCTTCCCAGGAAACTGAGAACTCACGACGAAGGCAGGTCAACGCTGTCAATGACGATAATGTTGAAATTACAGCCTAGGGAACCAATAACCTAGTTGAATTCAACGCCACCAAAACTCAAGCCTGTATTTTCTGTAGAAAGGTGGAACCCAAGGTGGAACCCATAGTATGCCCATTTCTACCAAGTCCAGTGTATAATCTATGCTCGGTATTTCCATTAGCAATACTCTTTCATGGGAGAATCATGTTTGATCCATCGCGAAAGCTGCTTCACAAGAACTCGTATTTTATACAGTGCGAAAATATACTTTACACCTCAACAGCTTTCCATGATCTACAACTCACAGACACGGTCTGTTTTAGAATACTGTTCTCACATATGGGGTTCAGCACCCAAATATACGCTAATGCTCTTAGATTCCATCCAGAGAAGAGACATTGGCCTGGTGGGAGATGCGGATGAATAACTTCCAAATAGACAGTACTCTGGTTTGCTGGAAATATCGCTAATAAAGGCGATTTATACAATTTTTTTCCAATGATTAGACAATATTACACCTTGCCTACTATGTTTTCACATTTATCAAAAAGAACAATTATTGAATTATTTTCCTTGTCGATCCATGCAACTCATTTCATTAGTTTCCAAATAGAATGATTATAGATTCCACCAAATCGGACGTAGGTAATCAGATTACAACTAGAATGAGATTTCCAATGAAAAATTGGCCGGTGACATTCGTGTGATACTGGTTTAATAAAGAAACCACACACTAGTCTATCCCAGAGCATTTTTGAATTATAAATAAATATCATCGACAATTGCCGACTTACTAGATGACCTAAAAATAATTTAGACACCGGAATCAAGTCGCAATTACGTGAGACTTGCGGCAGTCCCAACATTTTCGAAAATGAGGGTAGACGTTGAACTGATGTTCGAATGTCTGATTTATATCAACGCCCACTATTTTCCTGTGTTCATGCTCAGTGAAGTATCGATGACGATCGCCAAATACATCAGTGAGAAAAAAGACACGCCGAATCTGGGGACCGATGCCATAGTGTGTTCTGCAAGACACTTCGTGGAGCTACTGAAACTCATCCTGTTTAAAAAACTCAAAGACACTCACAGGAGTAAGTAACTCTTCCCCATGTATCCTTATATTCTCAGAGAGTTCCTCATAATTCTCAGAGATTTTAGTTGCCGACCGGCCTTGATATCACGTGACTGATCACAATGACAAATACGATTCGTATCGATACCAGTCGCTTTGTATATAAAAACGACAACAAATAAGCAATTGGAATCACTCATTTTGAAGACTGTTAATACCCTTGCCACTTTTCGAGAAATTGGATTGTTTTGAGATTGTCTTCAATGAAAAACGTTAACCCTCAACCCTAACAACACAGGGACATCCCAGGTACGTCCCTTTTATGTCCCAACGTGTACTGTCGGTACAAGGACATGATTGGGACATCACTATAGGATGTCCTGCTCAGTATTTCCAGGGGATGTCCCGACTGGGACATCCCTGAGTTGTCCCATTCATGTCCCTGATGTATATCTTAAATGTAATCTATTTGCTATTTGTATCAGAATTGATATGTTACAACAAAATATTGAAAATGCATATTCGTGATCTCACTGGGAAAATCCAGTCTTTATATTTTCTATACCCATCCAATTCAGTTACAGTACATTCAGCTCAATTTTGATACTTTTGAAATTTATTGATTAGATATTTACTGATGAGAGGTGCGCAGTAGTGCGCACTCCGTGTATATAATTGTCTCTCTGCTATATGCGTCAAACGAGGATCGACAGATACCCTAATAACAACACAGGGATTTCCTAGGTACGTCCCTTTTTTGTCCCGCGGTACAAGGACATGATTGGGACATCCAGGGGATGTCCTGCAGTGGTTGTCCAGTGGACATCCCGCCCGGTACATCCCTAGGTTATCCTATTCGTGTCCCTGGAGTATCTGACATCCATTAACATCAGAGTCATTGAATTTCATCAAACTATTGAGTTGAATTTTTTCGAAAATGTTTGTTTCACTTCCGGAAAATGACTGTAATGAAAATAAAGAATAAAGTCTCAGAACTTCTTGAGAAATTACCATTTTTCGCAGACAGAAATCGTACATGCCATAATGCCCCTCAGTTTTAAACACCCAAGAATGATAATAATTATACCCATCAATTCCTAATAAAGTTTTATTTATTCAGGTTTCTGTAGTTAAGTCCTGTTTATAAATCTGTTTCGAACATAAATCTTCAGGAGGCATGATATAGCCAATGGAGCAAGGTGCGTGCATGATAAGCCAAAGTTCCCGGGTTCAATCCCTACTCGACCTGCAACTTTTTTCTTTTGTCGAAAGGATGTCCCTGGGATATCCTTGGGACGTCCTAGGGATATCCCTTCATCGTTCTTGGTACATCCCAGGGACGTACCAGAAGGACATCCCTTGGATGCCTTTTTAAGCGGCCAGCGGATGTCCCTGGGACATCCCTAGTATGTACGTTGAACTGATGTTCGAATGTCTGATTTATATCAACGCCCACTATTTTCCTGTGTTCATGATCAGTGAAGTATCGATGACGATCGCCAAATACATCAGTGAGAAAAAAGACACGCCGAATCTGGGGACCGATGCCATAGTGTGTTCTGCAAGACACTTCGTGGAGCTACTGAAACTTATCCTGTTTAAAAAACTCAAAGACACTCACAGGAGTAAGTAACTCTTCCCCATGTATCCTTATATTTTCAGAGAGTTCCTTATAATTCTCAGAGATTTTAGTTGCCGACCGGCCT